GGGGCGGGGGGGGGGGGGGGGGGGGGGGGACCCCACCAGTCCTCCTTTTGTAAATTTGAACAGGTCTAACAAGATGCTCCAAGCTTTCTCCACTAAATCAAGTGTGTCTGGGGGTAGAGGGGGAAAGAGAGAGAGAGAGATTAAGGGGTTTTTAGGTTTGTTTAAAATCTAGAGGTGAAAAAAAGCATTGGCACTTTTTTTTGGAAGTTATTGTTGTTTACTTCAATCATGTTTCCTTTGTAGGGGTTTACTTGCTTGCATTTCTTTTGTTGCTAGCAAAACAGGCCCTAAGGCAATATGGACAAGGAAGCAAAGCTTTGATAGGAGGAATTAAAAGGAGCAACGTTTAAGGGTCTTAGGAAAAGGAAACTCATCTCCACACAAAAGGCAAATAGTGGATGGTTAGATGAATGAATAAATGTGCACAGAACCTTTCGTATCTCAATTTAACAACATTCCAATTGCCTTTACCGTAACCCCAATTGACAACTCTTTTTTTCTTTTAAGTTACTACAATTACTTCAACCATATTAATTTTGTGGGTGTTTATCTTACTTGAATTCCTTTTATAGCCAACAAAAAAATCCAAAAGGTGATTCGAACAAAGAAGCAAATCATTTCAAAGAAAGAAGGTTCTTAGAAGGAACTAAGACAAGAAGTCTTTGGAAAGGAAAGCCCATCTCCACCCAGATGGAAAATCGTGGATGGATAGATAGATGAATAAATTAATGTACTGAGAATCTTTGTTAGCGTAAATCAGCACCATTCCATTGCATTTACCCTAACCCCTATATGATTAAAATTTTTAAAAAATAATATTTTTCAAACTCCTGAATAAATCTTACCACTACATCACATAAATAGATCCCAACAATGGAATTATTAAAGATATTAACGCATTAGCAGGTGAGGATCACCAAACAGATGCAGATACCTGGGAGATGCACTGTCAGCTTTGTATCATCTCCTGAGCCCTTCGCAACAATCGTTCCTTCCCACCATCTGAGAGTAAAAAGGCATAATATTAGATACAAGAAATTTAAACAGATTGACAATCAAACAAGCATGAAAAACCAGAACAGCTTGCCACAAAAGAGAATGCATGAGCTTGAGAAATATCCATGAAACTTAGAAGTTATTCCAAAACCAAATAAAACAATGATACCAAGATAACACCAAAGCAGTTAAAGCTACTAAGCAAATATAAAAGCAATAGCGGTTGCAGTTTGCAAAAAATGCTGCCAAACACATAATACTAGATTGATATCAGGAAAAATAAATGTCAAAGTACATCTCCTTATCTAGTGATGCAAGATGCTTAATTTCATACAAAGAAAATCTAGACATAAACCACAAGTCGAAAGCATTCAAACCTATCCTGCATCCAAGCATCAACATGATCTCCAAGAGCCCAACTATAACTTCCAAGATGTTCCCTACGGCGTTTCCTTGTACCTTCATACTTCAATGATGTACAGTGAGCAACCCGTATTCTGGGAGCTTTCTCTTTTTCATTTGCAAGCACAATCCATTCCTTTAGATGGCCTGCAAAACATAACGCATAAATTCAGAAACAATTGAATTACGAAAACTAGTGATGGAATGCTCAACAGCATTGGAGTCCAATACGGCACAGAAAAATTCAGTCATATGCTTACCCAAAACACATAAGATACAAACTAACATTCACTAACTTGAAATAATATTGACTGCAAAGTTTGGTGTAGGCTAAGTTTAAGATGAGAGTAGAGTGCACTCTAAAGGTAAAATCATAAATCAACTAGGTAAAGCATAGCTAAACAAAACAATTAAACAAGCAAGACAACAGATGAGACAGTAACGGAAAAAATATGAGAACTATCAAACTTTAGATTTCAAGGGAGTGCGTTTAATCTTTAAACCAAATAGAATTAAGAGGACAAACAAAGCATGTAAGGATAAACAACATACTTCAAGTTAAAAAAAAATTTATCAATGAGAAAATGCTTTATTCCAAAAAAAACTGTTCAAACAGATGGGGGCAGAGGGGCAAGGCTTAGGGTGCGTTTGGGACGACTGCAGCTGTCGGTAAAGTAGATTGTAAAATTGTTGTACAGAAAGCTGCTTTCAGAAATTGTTGTATAAAAAGCAGTATATTTTGTTTGGGAAGTATAATTGTCAAGTTGCTGTGCTGCAGCTGTATGTGAATAAATTATCTTTATACCCTCTTATATATTGATGAAAAATATGATGTAAATATCAAAATTTTCAAAGAATTTATATGCTAATAAATAACAATTCTAAATAAAAATTGTATCAATTTTTATAAAATATTTTATAACTATTAAATACCATAATATAATTATTTTATAATGTACTATCATATTTTAAAATAATATGGAAAAAAAATTAGTCTTCATACAAAACGTTTGAGAAGACGATACGCTACGCATCAAGGAAGGCGTACGCAGAGGCGAGACCGAGGATTAAGGGTAGGTTTGTGAAGAGGACGGAGGTGGAGTCAGAGGTCGATCAGATCTACTCGTCAGCGGCGGCCGCCACCGCTGCTTTCATGGAAGCTGTTCAAGGCTACGGCGTAGTTCCATCTTTCTAAGACTTGATCATAAGATCTCCATTCCTCTGTTCTCGCCATGGATGGTGGTAAGATGCAAGAAAGTGGGTTTTGGGATGGAGTGGAAGCAGAGGAGTAGGAGCCGAAGAAGGGGTCCATTTGTGTTAACCTTCTTAACTATTGTATATTACGTTTTGGAACTTCTTCCTTTTTCGATTCTGATTGTTGCCATTGCTACGCCGTCCATGAACTGGCCGTGCTTTCGTCTGTTTTCTTTTGCCTCGGGCCTCCACTGTCCGATCGATAAACGAAGCTCAAAACGCGGAATGTTTTTGGAGATGAGAAACGGTGGTAGTCGCGAATATTTGCAGGATGGTTTCGTCATTTTTCTGCCCGAAAGCAGCGGACCGCGGGAGAGAGGGAAAGGTCGCGTGAAGCAATTACGTGCCGCAAAATTTTTTCTGCCGTTGTTCTACCGCAACGTTCCAAACAAAGATTTCATAACTTTTTATACAGTAAAGCAACAGTGCCGCCGTCCCAAACGCGCCCTTAGACTCCTCTTTGTTTCATAACAGAGCACTCGTGTGCTGTTAGCTGCCATATTAAAGCATAATCCACCTAATTTCCAAGTGGATTAGTAAAAGAAAGCACAAAGATTACTAATTACCTTCATTCGTTGAAAAATCATTGTAGCAGACATATGCCTTGTTATCTTTCATGTCAAGAACCCTAGCTGAAAACCAGGCTCCTCTTAGATCATCATCGTCAGACATGACCTGAGATATTTGAACGAATCAATTATAATTTATACTGAAGAAAATTTAAGAGTGCATTACCACTAAAAATTGCAAGGCAAGCAAGATTTGAATCTAATTTATGACCAGAAAATTCAAACGCAAGCTGAAAAATCAATTCTAAAATGTAAAAGATATTAAAGATTGTTATTGAATAATGCAAACACAAAATAGTATATACAAAAAAAAACTGGGCAAAAAAAGCATGGAAAACAAATCCAGATTAGTGAAGAAGAAAACCCAAACAACCTACCTCGACTAGAGAACCCTTTTGTATGCCTGTATAGCTAACAGAATGATCTCTTTCACGTCCAGCAGTTGAAAATTTTCCTGCACGGTGATACAAAGTATAGCTAAATAGTGACCAAGAAAAAGTAGTCATAGCTAATGTCGCATGCAGGTTCAGTTTCATTGAATTCCAATGCAGGCAACCGCAAAAGCTAAAATGGTTTGCTATTGACCAGCATGTAAAATTGTTGAAAGAAGCAATAAAATGTCACAAATGACTGTTTTAATCCATTTGTAGAAGGCAACTATTTAAAGCTATATATCAGATGGTAGAAAATGCAACAAGGCATGTATAACTTATTCATCAAGAGCTAGTTTGAAGGGAGAAGAACCAGCCGCAACAGAAATGCCGCAAAATTTAAATGAACCTCGAATGCAAGAAAACTCTAGCAAAGTAAAACACGCAACTATGCACATAAATACTTCAATACCTTGAGCTGTTCCATCAAGTTGCTCATGAGTTTTGATCAAAGAAGATAATCCACCTTCACTGGCAGCCTTCTGACTCTGTACATCTTTTGAAAACTGCCCATCAAATTGCTTAGCTGATTCTTTAACATTGCCTACGCCAACATGCTCATGTCCATTCATGTTGCTTAATTTGGAAACCTTCATGGGGGCACCATGATGAACTTTCCAAAACTCCTCGGTACCAGCCTCTACCAACTCACCCAATGTAAATGGTAAGGGATCCCCCATTGCAATGATTGTTCCCGCTTGGGCCACAGCTTCTGCAGCCAATTCTGCAGCTTTCACTATAGCATCCAAATTCTCTGCCTGTTTTGTGGCAGCAGAAGCTAATTCAATTCGTCTTTTGGCAGCCTCACGTGCAGCAGTAATAACTTCAGCAGATTCGTGGATCTTGTCCATTCCTTTCAAAATTGATATGGGAATTAACCCTGCTAATTTCTTTCCAACATCAAGAATGCCAGATTCTGGACTCCGGACAGTGTTAACAGTTTTTGCTGCACTAATAGCTTCATCTGACATTATTTTGGCTTGCCAAGCAACAACAGATGCAACTTTAGCCGCAGCTGCAGCAGCCTTTGCAACAGAAGCAGCTGCAGCAGCTGCAACAGCTGCAGAAGCAAGTTTTTCCTCAATCTGAGAAACTAATCCAGAATTCTTCTGGGCAGCTAGCTGACTCCATACAGCTTCACAATGCTTGATAGAAGATGCTGCAATAGCAGCAGCATCCTCTGCATGCAGCTTAGCTAGCTCAATTTTGCTGCAAGTCTCTTCAGAGAGGTTTGGCTTATGTTGATTATTATTCTCATCAATTATCCGGTAATGGGTTGGAGAAATCACGTGAGGCATACTAATTGAAACAGGGGCGCCATTAGCAACCTTTACTGGCGAATTAGAAAACAACTGCGTACTTGCAGATAGCAATGGAAGACTTTCAACACCACCAAGAACAGGAATGCACTCTACTGAAGTTTGAGAAACAGGCAAATTTAGCTCCTCCGCTGCCAAACCCTTCATCTTTCTAGCCTTTTGAGATTTTGATGTATGCTTATTGCTCCCATTGATTCCTCTCTTTTTTGTCGTTTCCAACTGAATGACTCCCTCAGTAGTGGCAGATGTAGGAGCACTAGGGGGTGCAACTTGTATCATGGGAATATGAGATCCACACAAGTCACTTGCGCAAGTTGCATGCATAGGTTCAGTAAAAGGTGCCGTAGAATAATGTTTGATGCCATCAAGGGCTGAACTGTGTGAAGAAACAAACAAAGGTCCAGGATGAGAAGCCTGTGACAACCAAGGAGAACTAGCCTCGACATGCTGTCTTAACTGTGAAGGTCTCCAAGGAGTCAATGGAGATGCAGTCTGATTGAAGTTCAGGTATGCACCCCTGGGCATGCTGGTATGCTGTCCATTTCCATAAGAGAGACTCCACAAAGGTGAGGGAAAAGAGACAGTTGAATTTTGCATAGCTGAGGATATAATCATGCTGGAGCCTTTGGCAGCAGACGACCCTGGGACTTTGCTTTGAACATTTGTACCCACTGAAACAAGTTCAAGGACCCATACTACTAAATAAACTTTTAAAATACATGGATCAAATACAAACAAGGCAACTGAAATAAATCCAGAGATACATACCTGACCGAGAATGTGAAGGGGTCTCAAAGCCACTGATGGGAGATTTCTGATTCTGAAACTTTGCAATCAAAGCATGCCACACACCTTCCCATAATCTCCGTCCACCATCTGCGAAACAACAATCAACAATGTAAACCAGTGTAAATCAAAGATGTGAATAAGACTAGAGTTGAAACACAAGGAAAAGCCAACCCAAATGGCTGGGATAAGGCAAATGAAGATAAGAAAAAGGTTAAGATATCAACCAGCATCACCAAAGGCTGACACCATATAAGCTTCATCTGGAGGAATACCTGAGCTGTGGCAAAAGCACAACAAAATTCAGTTTCACAGTCAAAACAGTAGCAATGCAGGACTTTAAGAATGCTTCAACATACATTAGAGCTCCATAAACAAATATTTGTGCACGTAATTGTACTTGCTGTAGATCTGTGAAAGACTGTTGAAATAACGTTGAGGATGAAGAATTCAAATCAGGAATACCAGATGTCTGGCCAACCAGAGAGGAGGATATTTTGATAGTAGAACAATCAATAGAGGAATGCTCTCGCACATCAACCAACGGCAAATCCTTGCTTGAAGTTTGAACATATTTATGTTGGCCGGGAGAATATTTGGCATCCATTCCAGAAAACTGCTTTAGAGCTGGTGCTTCCTTTTTTGTTTTCCCTCTTGAGCATATTTTCTTTTCATTCAAAAGCCTTGATGCATTCTTAGTTTTTCCCTTATTAGGGGTTTTGGCGGAAATATCGAGTGCTTTCACTTCATCCTGCCATCCTTGAGGATTCTCTTTCAGCATCTAGAAATAATAACACATTTTTGTCATTCACAAGTAAACGTTAAAAAAACTAAAGGAACTACAAAACAAGGAAGAAATTACCTGCTGAATATCATTCGACTGTAAACTGGGAAAAGACTTCCGCTCACTGCCAGCACCTCTCTCAGGCAAATTCCCAGATGTCGACACCACAGAAGTAACGCTTCTAACTTCAACAGGCATACCATGTGTCTTTGAATCATTACTGCTGCACTCAAGCTTTTGAGTGATCTCAGCTTTTGGAGAAGACACCAAAGCCATGTTACCCGAAGCATCCAAATTAATTTCTAAATGTGATACCTTGACTTCTGGATGCTCAAAATTGTCTTGGGCACAGTGTTTGCAACTTTCAGATGAACTTGGGTTTCCCCTTGGTTTATCTGATTGGTTGGATTCAACAGTACTCATCATGCAGATTTGAGAAGAATCATTTCTGTGTTTAGTCAACGCATTATCTGCAACTAAATAACACAGCATCAATTAACTGCTAAATAGAAAAGGGGAAAGACAGATGCTACAGCCATTATTGTATGGATTAAACCCGAGTGCATAAATGCTACAGCCATCAAGCACATTATTGTTAGATTAAACCATAAATATCACCACAGATGCGTCCAGAACCAACAGACCATCACAATATAATCGTGCCATATTATGCCAAAAATCAGCATATTTAAATGCTAAAATGTCACAAATATTAACAGTTTATGTTACATATTTTGTCATGACAACTTACTGGCAAGATAGAATAGTCAGCTTCACGGATTGCTGGCAGCCTTACACAAAAACCAACTTCCTCATGAACAAGATGAATCTACAACCCAAACCTTCTTAGCTCATGTAGACTTTTATGGGCAACATTTGAGCAGAAAATATTTCTATTAAAAACTTACCAATTCCAAAAGTTTTCTGCTGAATGATGATTAAAAAATCTCGCTTCAGCAAGGTATGCGGGATGTTGTCAACAAGGCTTTAGGTAAAAATAAAACCTTTAAACCAAAAAATCTGAGAATCCAGGGATATGCCAGATGGTCTCCAAACTAATAAAAAGACAGATATAATGAACACGCAAATGAGGTCTGAAACTGTTTGAAGTTCAAATGAAGGCAAGATATCAAGTAAGACACAAAAAATGTAAAGCCAAAGGAAGTCTGAAACTGCTTGTACTTCAAATAAAGGCAAGAGATCAAGCAAGACAAAAAAAATGTAAAGCCAACTTTAATGTGCATACATAAGAAGCATACAATAATAACAGTATGTGCATAGCGCAAGGAAAATGAATAACGACTCACAAGCCAGCAACAAATAATTTAGATAAGTCCCGTGATAATAATGACGAGATGAGCAAGAAACAACGACCTTCTGTTTGAGCAGACACATTATGCCCTTCCGGGAAATCTCTTGCGGCAAAATTGCATTGATCATTTTGCTCATTGCTTGGGCTTTTACGAGAGCAATTGTCATGTATGGATGAAGTAAAGCATACTGCTTGTTTTCCATCACTACAAGAAGCTTGTGCTAAAACAAAACAAAATAGAAGAAAAAAAGAGTCAGTCCAGTTCATAACTATTTTCTCAAGCAACCACAACCTTAAAACAAGACCAAACATGGATGCTGCATAATATGTATCGCTTACCTTGAAATGAAAAAGAAATAAGCTTCTAAAAAGCACATTTACTTAACATGGAAGCAGGGGGGCCAGAAATTTTTCTTGGCGAGGCACAAATTGATGGTATAAAAATACTTTTTAACATTTTTCTTTCAGCCTGGGACCAACATTGATAATTTAAAATAAATTTTTAATAGAATATTTTAATATAAAAATATAAATATATATTGATAAAAAAACTTACAATTGAGAGTGTTAATCCTTAAAGTTCTAAAAACGTTGAATGTTTTTTTATTGAATTCATTAAAATATCATTTAAAAAAAGAGGAATATTTTCAAAACTCTATTGATAATAGTAAGATTTTACTATTTTTATTAATAGTTAAAATGATAACAAATAATATCATTGTTAATATTAATCAAAGTTTTTAAAACAGGACCGAACCAACCGATTCGACAGTTCAACTATGAACCGGTCCCAACTTTTTTGAACCAAACGGTTCGATTGTTAAATGATTTAAATAACTAAATAAATTAATTCAATTCATTAAGTATAAATTAATAAATAAAATTAGAATTTAACAAAGTAATTTAAATTTAAGATATTTAATTTTTTAATAACAAGAAAATTTTATACTAATTACTAGCCCGAAATACCAATGAAGCGTCTTCACATGGCCTAACCACTCTATGTGAATTCTTAACACATACAAACCCAAAAACCTATATAAACAACAATGAGGCAAAGCTCCGAAGTGATGTGTGAGTAATAGATGAGTTAGGTTATCAAGTTCATAGCATATATATTATATATTTTTAGACGAATTTTTTTAATTAAATTTTTATAATGCTAATAGGATTTTTTTTAAATAATATTGAATTTTTTATTTATTTACACCAAAGTTGTGAAAATCGGACCGGACAACGAACCGGAAGAATGAGAGGTTCATGGTTCGACCGGTCGAACCGGGGTTGAACCGAATGACGTAATAAATAATAATATAATTAAAAGTAATAAAATTAACATAATAATAATGACAATTTATTCTTGAAAATTTTATAATTCTAAGTATCGTGTCGTATCCGTGTCGCCGTATCCGTATCGGTGCAACATAGGATGTAAATTATCTAAGTATACAATATAAATTAATAATAATTTATCTTAAATTTATAAATTTATATATAAACTAAGTTTAATTAAATATAAATCAATTAAAATTTGAATGTGTTTAAATTTAAAATTACATAAAATATTATTTATATACAAAAAATTATATTATTGCATATTTATTAAATCATAACTATTTCATTTAAATCTTACTTAAATAATTTTTATATTTATCTCTCTCTATGTATGTATATATATATATATAGTTATTTACTAATTTATTAAATTCTCTCTCATCCCATAATTCTACTAAGCCATTTGTACATTCAATTGCACGTTGGCTAGGTACAAATAAATATTTACATAAAAAAACAAACTTTTGAATAAGCTGATTTTGGGTTGGGGCAGCGAGGGCAATGAGCCTGAATGCCTACAATAGATCCGCCAATGCATGGAACGAAAATGGGTTATAATAAGAAGACTTTGAATTTTACTTACCTGAAAAAACTGAGGCGGCATTCTTCACAAGTGAGAAACTTTCCAGTGACTCAACAGCATTATCAATTCCTTCTACCGAACCATGAGAATCAGTCCCTTCCCGCTGCACAGACTCCGCATTGCCAACAGCGTCTACTGCAGAAGATGGAACCTCATTCTGAACTGGTATAAAATCTATACTTTTCATCGCAGATGGAGGTTGCACTACAGCTCTTACTTCATTTTTTGTTGACATATTCACTAAAGCATCTTCAACACAATCAGAGCATGTATTTTCCCCATTCACAGTTTCGTTGTCGACATTATTGCTAAAATTGGTTAACTTAGAACTTCCAGAAAGCTTCACTTCATTTTCCTTAGATATGACTGGGAAAGCCAACTTAGCTGCTAATTGAACAAAGCAAAAGCATCAAAATATCAATAATCAACCGGATTTTCCAAGTGATAACTAGAGAAAATCAACACCAATTAGTCGAATGAATAGAGAACTAATAGAAGCAAAATTCACCTGAAACATCTTGGGACAATTTAAAAGGTGAAGTGCCGTCCATGTCCAATGGATAGGGAACAGATGCCGGGTCACTTGCTTTCTTGGACACCAAATCAATAGTAGGAAATGATGAAGCTAAATTTCTAAATACCTTACCATCTTGATCAGCAGAATGGATAAAATCTGAGGTAGATAGTGCCTCTATCAAAGGTTTTTTCTTTTCTACGACCACGTCAAGATCAGTGGCATCTTCCGGAGGTGGCAGGTGATGATGCATAGACTTTTCAAAGTTCAGGGGCAATGGAACAGGATCTATAAAAATAAAATAAAATATTTATCATTTCCAAAAAAATACCTCAAAATTGCAACAAATAGAATAAAACTTCTCAAAGCCCAGTGGCACTTGAACGGAATCTGAATCTGGAGAAAAATTAACCATTTCACCACAAATTACCACTACAAATTGCAAGTAATAGAAACAGTTTAGGATGTAGAAAGTTACCAAAATCTTTTTGTACTAATTTATTCCTGCATAAGCCATCCAAAGATAACTCTTCAGTAGTCTGCAAGTCTGCAGGTGAAGAGTCTTGAACCTCAATGACATTAGAGGCTATGCCTAAACTAACTCTACAAAAATTTGTGCGTGTTACTGAGGACTCCTTATCAACTAAAACATCACCTTGTGCCATATGAAATTCTGTCGAATCCATAGCTGATTTATATTCCTTACAAGAAGTACATGGTGAGGAGTTAGCTTCAGCATCAGACACAACAGCAAGTGCAGAAGATTCGTCCGGGGCTATATCTTTATCAGTATCTAATTTCATCTCTTGTTTATCAACATCCACATCATCAGCAGTGCTACCCTCAACAACATACACACACTTCTCGCAGGCGATATTCGGTGGATTAGTGTTCATCCTGTCATAATCGCCTGTGTCCATAACTTGAATTTCATAATTAACTTGAATAGAAGCATTTGATTCTGTTAGCAATTGGGAAGCATAAGCATCATTAATTTTATTTTCTGTCATCTGGCATTCAGGATATTGCTTATTGCTAAAGGCATCCAAATATGTTACAAGTTTTCGTCCTCCATCATTACAAGACATAGTTGAGTTCTGATTACTTGAAATGTAAGCGTTATCATCCTCCACAGAATCATCCGGCAGTCTGCCATTAACACTTTTGTGCCCTTCAGTTAACAGAGACGTCGTCTGGATAGCTTTACTACTGCTGTTACCAGAATTCTCCTCAAATTTTTTACATTGCTCCTGTGCTAATTGATTTACACTATCTACTTTTCCTAAAAATCTATTAACTGTTTCACAGTCACGAATCAAAGCCTCGGTTCTGCATGAAATGGACACAAAACCATCAGCATCCTCAGAAATTACAGAATCATTACATTTATTCAGCATCTCGTAAGCATCTGATTTTGGCACCAGCTGATTATTTGTTTCAAAATTATGAATTACCATAGATTTTTTTTTATGGTCAATATCATATAGCAAATCAGACCTGCTACTGACATTTCGCTGATTTTGTTCATCAGAGAACCCAGTTGTATCAGTAACAAGTCTCTCATCTTGATTACTTCTGCAGGTAATAGATAATAGGCTGGGGCTAACCGCCATATATGAGTTGCAATCATCAATATTTGTTCTCATGGGCACATTAATAACATGTCCTCCTTTCAGAAATGTCTCACATCGGACTTTTTCAGCCACTCTTGATCTTTCAATAGCTTCATTTGAATAAGTTGGATTTTCATCTGCCATGTACTGATCACCAGCAATCTTTCCATCAGAACTGATTCCATTTGAAGGATCTAAATTAAAGACAGTTCTGGATTCTTCAACTTCAGATGCTTGAGATGAACCTTGAAGATGCGTTAGCAAATCCCTTTGCCCTTCACTTAGACTTGAGAATTTTTTCGGGCATTCATCCTGAATAATTACATCTTTATCATTAGGGTGGGAATCCATCACGGATGAGTTAAGGACACCATCCTTTTTAATATAGGGATCAACCTGATTATCAATGCCATCAGATACATCATTAGCACTTGACTCCATGATGACAGATTTGTCGTTGATTATTTCATCATCTCCCACTGATTTCAATAACAAATCAACAGACTCAGATGACGTTGCCTCAGACCAAACATTGTTATGCCTAGATATTGAGCAAGACTCAGCAGCACTTGAACTGAACTCTACTGCATTACTTCCAGATGGAAAGTCAATCCAATTATTTTCTTGACTTTGTATGTCAAGTAAAACTTCCGTTTCAACTAAGCTATCAAACCTAAGGTGTTCATCAAGATCAAATTTTGGAAGAGCAAATGACCGTAGGTTCACAGAAAATTTGCTGTCTTCCCCAACTAACTGAAAATTTTGGCTTTGAAAATCATTTTCATCATAATCCATGGATGTAGCCCTGAAAATTAAAGAAAACAATAAAATGCACGAGGATTCATCGGCCAAGCCCAATGGCAAGAGGGCTCTCGTCAATGTGCCCTAAATGAAAATCTAAAATTATAATTAATTTGAGGATGTTAATGCTAGCTAACGGTACCGCATTCACCAAAAAAAATTTTAAAAAAGCACCCTATTGCTCATTAGAAATGTACTTAAAACCTAATAAACATTATAGTGATACAGAAGCCGTTGTTTAAATTCATTCAAGAGAAACTAGTGATGAAAGACATTCAAGAAATAAAACTCCGAGTATTTGTAACTAAGGAAAAAGTATATTAATATAAATCCACCATATTTGACAAATTAAGTGGTAACATTTTTCCTAGATTTAAATAATTTAATCAACGAATCTCACAGATGAAACGATCCATCAATGCTTAGGCCTTTTCGAGCAGATTACAGGGAAAATCCATCAGAAGTGGTGGAGGTGGCGTCTGCCTGCCTCACTCGACTGACGGCTCCATTAATATGTGCCAACAATTAGATACTTTATTCACTCAATTGCTTGCCCATCAAAGTCGTATGATACAAAGAACACATTCGTATGATACAAAGAACACTCTCCATAAACTTCAACTCGCACACAAAAACATAGCATATTTTTGCTTAAAACCCTTACAAGGGATCCAAATAAAAAATTTGAAGTTAAATATAGACAATTAAGATCAACCATAAAGGATACAAATTAAAGGGTTACGTGCAATTAAGGCTGCAAACAAACCGAGCCAAACAGAAGCTTGTTCATGTTTGAGGTCATTTATTATAATTTTTGTTGAAGTTCGATTAACATAAAAATGAAAATTTATGTTAATAAAATAAGGCTGCAAACAAACGTGACCTAATACCTCTTGTTCATAAATAAATTTATTCTAATGAAAGAATATAGCATAAAAATGAAATTAATTTTTAATAAAATAAGAATCATTTATTATAATAGCACTAAAAAATTATGAGAAAATATGTCAAATCTTAAGACATGTATTTAGTACAAAACAAACAAGAATGGCGCTTCTTATCAAGCTTCGTATCAAACTTATTCACGAGCTTTAAATGATATTATTCATAAACAAATCAAACACATAGCTATTCAAGCTTATTTATTTAATCATTGAGTATTTAAAAAATGTTAAAGCTTGTTAGATTACTTAATCAAACGATCACAAACAAGTTATAATTGAGCCAAGCCACGAGTAATTTGTTGAATACTCATTTCATTTGCAATCCTAGCTGCAAATAAAGAAAACAATCATATTACATAAATGTTCAACTAATCCTCAATTCTCTGAAAGAACCAAAGAACTCTTCATGACAGTTTGTTCACATTTTAGCATAACATTAGATGATAGAACCGAAATAAGAATTGCTCAAAAAGCCAAATAAAAAGTTTATCAAGCTTCATAAACATATAAAAGTTCATACATTTATGGAAAAGATTATCTAGAAATGTTAAGAAGGATTGTCAAATGAATTCATCTTGCTCATCTAAGAACCATTTAACAACGAGCCTTCAAATAAAAACTTAACAGGACCTCAACCCAAGTCTATGTGAGGCTTTGAAGAGAATTTAGAATTCATGTGGATTATACATAGTGTAAAGAAAATTAATGTATTTGAAATACATTTTCTGTGTTTCCTTAGTTGTAAAATAAATTCAGGAGATCACTTATTTTTTGCGTTCAGATTGCTATAAAATGAATAAAAAAATTATTAATTATTTTTTTATTAGGGCAATAACATTGGGTCAGGGCCTAATCAATGACGGCAAACAGAGTCAATGGATATGAAATTCACGTAGGTTGTGAATCGGCCTGCAGTGCTTGCAATGTGGAGGTTGTAGAGCTCGTGATGGTTATTTATGCATATTGTATTTAGAATTTGCTCGAGTTAACAAATTTAATATACAAGGAGTTTCAAATCCCTCGAAATATTACTTTAGATTTGCTTTCAAAAACAATACAAAAAAACCAATACACTTCGAATGCAATACACTCAAATTACATCCAACCAAACAACCCCTTGAGAAGAAAAAAGTCAATTATAACTCAATCCTCATCTTAGCACTAGGAATCATGCTATAAATGAAGGGAAAAACAAACATCAATGCTCTTAATTGTAATTCAAAGATCGTATATTTTTAAATAATTGAGATTTAACATAACTTTCATCTCTCAGACTTTGCCATTACTCAATCTATGTTTTGAAAACTAAAAGTATCAACGACCACCTAAATAACAAATGAATACAGAATGATCAACATAGGATTGAAGAAGCAAATCAGTTAACCTATCTATTCCTCATTCCCCTAATGCACATTTAAGTGTGAAGGATTTGAGCATCAAAAGCATCACATCCCATCTCACTTACCTTCCACAATATACAATTCATTTTCCTCCCTTGGCAACAATATTGCCACCAAGGCTCACTAGTCATCCCAATTTAGGACAATAAAATCCAAGCTTTCATTGCCTTCAACACCATAATGGACAATGAACAACCTCTCCCTCATTATCTCTCTCCCTTCCTCCCTCCCTTCATCTTTTCTCTCTCATTATACACAAATAAGCTCTCCCTTGCAAGAATTTCGAAGCAATTTTACCATTATGGATAATCAAAGAACCACACTAACTCAATAAAAAACTAGCACAATTTTCTCCAAGGTTAACCAACCTCCTACTCATCCCCATCCACAATAAGCGCACTAACACTTTTGTGAAATGATCTATGATGCACTTACACTTCTCCTCAAAGAGATGTAGAATGTCTGACACGTATCAGACACGACACTCGTCAAACACATGTCTGACACGCAGAAGACATGTCCAATTAAAAAATTTAGGCACGCATGTCTAAAATATTTTTAATGAAATTTCTTGTATTTCATTTTTTTATTTATTAAAAAAATAAAATTTCTTATTTCTTGTCCGAAGCCCCAATCAATTGCTCGAACTCAATACCACATTCCCGAAAAATTCTTATTTTCATTTCTCTCAGGCGGATGTTGGTCAAGGTTTCATGTATGATGACATCTCAACATCAACGTCTGACACCATCACAACATCACTATTTCAAAGCCATCTCAAAATTCAAGTCTAATGATGTCCTGATATGTCATCTTTGTCCAAAGTCATCTCAACATCGACAACCAACATCGTCTCGACATTGACGCCCAATGCCCATTGCACATAGATGTCAAACTTTCAACAGCATTATCTCATCCTCTTCCGATGTCTGACACACGACATCAACATTTGACTCTCGACATACTAATATTAATCATTATAAGCACAAATTCTAGTTAAATGACTTATTATTTATCAATTATTCTTAATATTTTTCTTATTAAATTTCTATACACTATTTTTAAGATATAAAAATTTATGATATTGCATTCAACCCGTCTCTGTCCTATATTTCAGTAATTAGTGTATCTTGTGTTCGTGTTTGTGCATCATTAGTAATGAGAGGAGGAAAACCAACCTAAAAAACTTAATTCTCCCCATCACACTCTCTAAAAATGTCAAAAAAAAGGGGCATGAACCTCTGAAACAGGCAGAAAGAAGTTGTAAAAAAAAATCAATGCTAGGGAGTACAATCCAAGATATGCGTCCAACATACAGCCTTTAGCAAAGAGTTTATTCCGTGATTCAATAAAGCAAATTAATAACATCATGGCATACTTGGATTCCCAAAAGGGAAAAGAGGTGCAAGTGATGAAATTAATATCTTATCAACTTTTCAAATAGTTTACCTAATGATTTCGTCCAGGTTTATCATGTTGAACCTATCAAAACAAATCAACCGGAACTAATCATATCATCGTTCAACCTAATCTTTTCTTAAAGCAATGTTCAATCCTATGAGAACAACCAGAAATCAAAAGGAAATGTATCAATACCATCTATGGTATCGCATATCAAAGTTAAATGGGCATAATAATAGCCCAGGATAGAAACTGTTGCCAATGTTTCATGCCAATAGGCCAAACCTTTCACTATGAAAACAAGTACTCGGAAACAAATAAAATATATCATAAAGAAATGATACAACCAACTTCAACCGTGCTGTTTCCAATTGATGCATTTTGAAAAGCAATAAGTTGCTTCATTTAAGGACCCGACAGTTCTACTGAAGAAAGTGATTTGAATCATTCATACTGGAGCTCAAGTTGAATGAAAAAAAAAAAAATTAAAACTAAACAACAACTAAACTACCGCCACCTCTAAACAGTTCGCATAAAAGCTATCAAGAAAAACTAAATTTGGCCCTTAACTAGCCCATTTTTTCTCAGTAATTTAGTACTGTAAAAATTTTAAATTTCAAAGACGTGAAATCTTGAAATTCCACTTCTTCGCTTTATTTCAGTTCATTGAATCACTTCTCTCCTACCGCCTGATTAATGGAATGAGTAGACCTCGCCATTTTTCACACTCAGAATGCCAGCAAGCCCTTCAGCCCCCATCAGGTTCATTATTCTCGGAAATTTTGTACGGCAAGCTTTTGGCCCTATAAACTTTTTCGTCCACTTCCGTTAGTCATTTGACCGACTCATTGATATTTAATAATCTGGCCATTAATTTTGAGATACAACTCCAACTTCAAAATAAATAAATAAAATATTCTTAGAAACTCCATTAGAACAGCCTTTCAATAACATAGAATCCCCTCAGAATGTTTGTTAGAAGATAATTAGTTCATATAGCCCCATAAATTTGTAATCAACTTAAAAACGAAGTAATCGCGGAAAAACACCAAAAAAAAAAAGCACTAAAAATTTTTGATCTTAACAACCTATAGCCAACAGTTTAAACCCCTAAGAGAAAATAAAAAGGACGAAATTAAATCGTTCTCTAGAACAACAAAGGAATAACATGGTATAAAATTTGATTATTAAGTTGTGGTTCTCGATGATAACGAGCCACTAGAAAGTTGAAACTACAGCTAACAGTCATTTCAACTGCTGGTCCCACCAATTCTGCAGATACACAAGCCAATACAAATTCATCAAGCCAAGGTAAGGGTCTTTGACGTTAAACTTGTCCCACAGCGCCCACAATCCCAGTAAATCCTACATAATCCAAGGCTAAAGTGCTAACGCCAAGAAAAAAGAATAGTGACCAAAATTCGATACAAACATTAACAAATAATCAGTAAAACTATCACCAAAAACCATCACTAAACCCCAACAATTTCATCCCTGATCCCACTTCACGTATAGAAACCCTAAGCGCTTCAAAAAAATTAGCAAGTCAAACCAACTACTAACAATTTAAACGAAGCCAAGGAAAACCCTAATTTAATCCAATCCAAGCAATGGAAGCGAGAGAGTACCAGAGTAATCGTGCCTAGAGTGCTACTACCCTCCATCCGGGGACCCAATCGTGGCCTTCGACTAACCAGACCCCAAATTCAATGATTACCACCAGGCTCATTTCCCGAGAGCGTTTTTTGTCATCTCTTCCTGCCTCAACGGAAAGCAAGCCCCAAACCCGGCGCTCTTGGTCATAGAACCCTAAGCGGGATGTCAGGAACTGCTACGCCGTCGTGGTTCCGACAATTCTCCGGCAGATCGGCGGCTGTTAGCCTGTTACAGTGGATGAACTAGACCGAGTTGCTCTCCGCGCTTTCCTCTAGTGGACCTGCCCCTTCCCCTTTGATTTTGATTTTGTCGTGCGCACGCTTCGCATCGGGTATCAGGGTATGGGTTGTGTTATTGCGGGCGGACTTGACGGTCCGTTTGCTGAGTACGACTGTTGTAGACCACATGGAGAGAGAGAGGGGGGGACTGCGGGCTAACCCAAACCCCGCACCCAAAAAAAAAAAATGTTTGCATTAGCCCCACATTTTAAGGTAATTTACGTTCTTACTCTTCGGCGTATTACTAGTGGCTCTTGGCGTCGAAAAATTATTCTACGAGCTGAGCATTGTCCGGAGACTAATCAGAATAAGTCATATCACCTATTCGCTCGGTACCGTGGCTATGTATTGCTCGGTACCACTGATATGACTGCACCTTATACACCTCCAGACATAGAGCTGCATTGGCTTCCGCACCTTATATTTCATCATTATCATACTCATATCACCTTATAAACTTTAATATTTCATTTCATGCACCCATATTTATTATATAGGTAGTATGTATGTAATATTAAAGTTTTAGTTATTAGATATATATATAAATAGCATGAAATAAAATGGTATGTATGTAAATCTCTCTTAATAATAAATATTTATTTTTACTTATAAAAAAATATAAATAAAAGAAATGATTGATTTAGAAGACCTGAGATAAATATTAATGTCTATTTATATATAATAGATAAATATTAATGTATTCTAATTGTTTTATTTCTTAATAATTAATATATAATTTATCTCTCTCCTAAATAATAAAATTTTATGTACATAGTTTAATAATTATATTTAATGATTCCATTTTATTTAATATATAAGCTTTTAAAAAAATGAGGCCATGATGAATTTTAAATTTTTTAATTTATTTTGACATAAATAATCAGGATACTTATATAAGTTTGATATGAAGCAATAAAATCAATAATCACCTTGTTTTTACTAAATAACTATTTTATTTCTCAAATAATAAAATAAGTTGAGGCAGTTCAAGTGTTCAACATTATAGAAATGGAGATGAATCCGACCAATCATTTGTAGTAAAAATAATTTTTAAAAATAAAAAGAGATTTTTATGTTCTTCTAATTGGAATAACAATATTGATACTCAATAAATACAAAATTATATGTGAGTTAGCAAAATATATTTATGGTGGAAAAAAATATTTGCAAACTCATTATGAATTTATACCTTCTTTAGTAATGACTATAAGATGCTTTAAATTAAACTAGTTCATATGTCTAATATTTTGTTATTCTTAATCTAACTTTCATAGAGACATCATTCACTAATTCTAGACTTATCAATCTCCTCTCATCAACTTTATCTAAGATAAAGGTGTCGTGTTCTATGTTATATGCAAACTCAATCAAAGATATATGATCCAACTCTTCGATGTCTAATGAAATCCGTCAATCAAATGCACGCACAAATATGTCACCCTCTCAATTGGATGTTTATCTTATAGGAAAAAAAATGTGTTGACATCTTCAATTGATCAACTACAACCATTTCTCTATTTTTAACATCTTATAACTATTACTAAGGGCTTCTTCTATAATATTTGAATCTTAATGTGATCATCTAATTGAATTTAATAAGACTTCCATGTTTATTTTATGTTTGTCAATTTTTTTATTTTTTGTGAATTATTGAAATTAGTTTTATGCTTTGTTTTTCTACTTCTTCTTATGATTTTTGTTTAAAGAGAATTAGTGAATTACAATAAGTTGATATCAATCTTTGTGCATTCATATAAGTTTTTTAATGTATTTTATATCACCATTCTTACAACATTATAAGCATCATTATGTAGACAATTTTAAGTACATTTTACTTATTTTTATAAGCATCTTATATAATAAGTATATGTCATGTGTAATGTTATAAGAATGGTTTATATAAAATTCATTCAACAAATTCATAGATATTTTAATACAATTTTTAATACAAACTCATTTTCAATTTTAGTTTTAGTTTTCTCATGTAAATTCTGATATTTTATTAGATTCGATTTAATACAAACTCAAATTTACAGAAATTTTAAAAATTTTTACCATATAACATTCATGTCGAAGAGTTAATTATTATAATTATATTGACATATGCTAAGAGTTTTATGGAATATTTCTTATTGTCTAGTATTTTATATATTTTAATAAATATATAAATATCGATAGAATAATAAAATCCCTCAAAATAATATTATGAATATTGTATATAAATAATTTTATGATTTATGATTATTGAATTGTGTATACTGAATTAAATTTAAATCTTATTATTTATTTTACACGTAGATTTAAAAAAAAATTAACACTGTTATATATTATTCATATTTATTAAAATTAATTATACTTATGTGCTTATGAAGGTAAAATATATGTGTGAAAAGGTATATAAAAAATCATTCACTATACTTATGTGCTTATGAATTGTGCTTATGAATATTGTATATAAAAAAAATATTATTTATTAATTTATTTTACTTTTGATATAATGTTTATAATATTGCTTATAATATATATCTACTATTGACACTAGTTCCTGTTCTGACATTATACTTTATAAGCATGACATATAACATATTAATTGTGAGTTCCAAGACTTAAGTGGGAAGAATTATCTATTATATTTTGTAATTATTTACATAGCTTTTATAAAATCATCAATATAATTTAATATATCAAGTGGAATCAACTATACATCATATACTTCAAAATCATTCACTATATTCAATTATCAAAATCTTATTTATAATAGTTAGGATATCATTTGCAATGAATAATCCATCATAAGCTCCTAACTACAAAAGAATAAACAAAATACAAAATATCAATAGAAAAACTTGGAGATCTCAATCAACATCATTTCACAAAATCTTTGGTTACCTATATGGAGAGGGAAATGTCCAATAAACTTGATAATTTGTGAACTTCGCAGCTCTTTGAAATTTTGAAAATTTGTCGATGATCATGGTTACATCATTTCATTAGATTTGAAGTTTTTGTATAATTGAATCATTGATGACGTTTAGAATATTAGAGTTTTTAAGCATTTTTATAATTTTCTATGATTGTTTAATCTTATAACAATATTTTTAATAATTTTTTTGCTTCCTAATCTGAGGTCTTTATTAATTCCACCAGTTCTATCAATGATGGCATCTTCAACATCCCTCCTGGCCTCTTCTACTGGATTAGGTAACTCCTCGGCTCTTCATCATCTCTCTCCTCATCAAATGAGTCACTAGCAACATCACCAGCATGAGCAATCTCAAGGGCTTCTTCATCGAGGTCATCAATGTAAGGAGTATCAAACAATCGGTCTAAATTAAGGCTTCATTTGAGACAGTTTTTACTGCTTCTTAAAGTAGTTTCCTAGTTAAAATTTCTTTATTCTTTACACTAAAAAACTGTTTTAAGAAACAGTTAGAAAGCCGTCCTAAATGAAATCTAAGCCTAATGTATTAATAGATAAGAACTCAAAGCTTAAAAGCTCAAGCTAAATGAATTAAAGCAAAAATAGTACATTGGGAATTTAAATTGCTTTATTTCCCTCTCAGTATAGAACTAGTCATCACTGTGATCACATAGCATTAAGTTAATGAAACAAGCACAATCCTCCGAGCCGATGGGATTCATTTATGGGGATGTATTCATTTGAAATCACAAGAAAAATAGGGGTTATAAGCTTTCAATACAAATTTGTGTCAAATAGTGCAAAGCCAATTATCAAGAGAAAATTATTTTTATTAAACATATAAGAAAATGATCGAATTGATCCCCTAACTTATTTTGAATAATCATAATAGTAACCGACTATATAAAAGTATCAATTTAATACTTTGAACTTTTAAATAGAGATTAATCAGTCATTTTGTAGGATCATTTAAGTCTCTAATTAAAATGTCAGGAGATTAAAATGAATTTTTCAAATAATCAAGAACTATTGTAAATAAATAATCAAGACTTTGGAGATAGTTAATGGGCTTCAATTTATTGTTGCTTTATCATTCTCTCTCTTGCAGATTATTACACAAGGTTTCGTTTGGGACAGCTTTGCTATAGTTTCCTAAAGTAGTTGTTTAATATAAAAGATTTATCTTTGGTACTAAAAAGTTATTTTAAGAAGCAGTAAGAAAACTGTCCCAAACGAAACCTAAAGTCCACAAAAATAATAACGGCTTAGCCATAGATTGACCTTCAATGGTTATAATATGACCTCAAACTTGACTCTTTATTGATTATTTTTTTTCCGCTATAAATATCTCCTCTATTTTACACGACATGCAAAAATAATCTAATATTATTGAAAAAGCAAACATTTAAGTGATTAATTGGAATTACCTGATGCTTGAATCATTAACTTCTAACCTTAATTTAAAACTAAAATGCTTACCACACCCAAGCTCCCACAGAATTAACATTGTAAACAAATACACAATTCCTCTGTGAGATTTCCATTTTCATTTCTTCTCTTTCAATTCCTCTAAACTAAACAGTCTTTTAGATTCTTAAAAGCAAAATTACCCTTAGAGATTCTAAACACCTAGAAAGATTTAAATAAAAGAGGGTGAAAATAATGAAATAGCACCAACCCACATTTTTCCTAACAAATGGGAGCTCCAGTTTGAAGTGCATCATAAAAAATAAATAGAAAATATAGAAAGTAATAAGAAAGCCGTCTCAATCGAAGCCTACATCTCATAAAAGAATTGTCATCTATAATCATTTTACATTTTTATGTTACTTTTTTAGGCTTCATTTGGGACAGCTTTAAACCACTTTTTTTTCTGTTTTCAAGAAGTTTTTTAACTAAAAGACAGCTTTACAAAATAGTATGAAAGTCATCCCAAACGAACTTTAGTTTAACCAACTTTCTTTATCTCTCTAGAAATATGACAGAACAGACTGCAGGATAGAAATGAGCATAGCAAGGAATAATAGATTTTATATTGCTTTAACAATATTAATACAAAGGAATTGATGCAGAACTACATAAGAACAACAGCTGACCTCTTTTAGAAAACAACAGTCTTTTTCCCTTCGTAGGGCAGTACACGGAGCTCACAATAGGATTGAATTGCCCTGCGAAGACATTGCTTCTCAAGGCTTTGGGATTTCTGTACAAAGCTCTGTAAGGAATCTTTATGGGAAACTCTCTCAACCTATTACAATCCAATCCCAGACAAAAATATCAGCCAGTTGGTGCAGATGGCTAACAAACTGAAAGAAACTTGAGATTAAAGAGGTCTCCGCAGAAGATAAAATACTTCAAAGAAGACATCAATCTGTAAATCCTTATCATTTTCATTACCATGCCATTTTCATTTCCTTTACTGTAATTCCTTCAAACCAAACAAAGCATTAAGAAAACTAGGGATCTCTTCCTATAGTGAGACCTTGATTTTTCATGTTATCCAACAAATAAGACGTCAGTTATTCGGTCAAACGATATCTTAATATAACAAAAAATTTTAAGCCAATCTAACAAAATAATTGTAATTGTTGAATTCAAATTTGTCTATGAGTGATACCCAACCTTACAAGATGGTGAATTCTAGATGTCCAATTTGATAACCTGTGGGAATAGAGAAAAAGAGATAGAAAACTATGTAGTAAATGATCTAGTTGCTTAAGTTTCTATATAAAATGTCAAAATATAAAAAATGTTCAACTTCATCCTTCATTTATAGAGATACAAGGGCCACAAGAAGACTACATTAATAAAGAAATAAAAATACATAAGTTAATGACTCTTAGTACAGACTGCCTTAGAAAAGTGTCACACTCTGGCCGACTTGATGAATACCTGCCTCTCTTAATCCTATTTCTCTATCTCGAGACGAATTTCATAATGTCGAGTGCGTAATGGTGAGTAAGCATAGACGAGTCTGCTGCGACTATTGAGGTAAGAGGGTTGTGGCTAGTGAGCGTCATGAAGCCATTGGCGACCTTTGTCGGAGTCCTAGATTGTTTCGAAGTAAGAAACGAGTATGATAAAGTTGCACGGATGATATACTACTTACTCAGGTGACTGTGATGGTACGAGGCCAATTTAGGCAAACTCACACACACATCACATTACGCAAGTTTCGAACCTAAGGCCTCTTGGTTTGTAGCAAATGCTCCCAACCAATAGACCAAAATGATCTGTCTAAAACCCTCATGAATAGATGTCTTTCTGTAGCTGTAAAGATGAGCATAGTTGGTGACGGCTCATCATGAATGATGTGAGTGACCTTAATGGCAAGTTCTTGTTGAAGCGTGAGCGACAAATTGAATGGTCCGCGAGAACCTTTCACAGTTCTTGTGAGGAGCTACTCCTCTTTGGGTGTCTTGTTAAGTCTTGATGACCCTTAGCCAGGTTCTCCTTATGGATTCATGAAGCACTAGTTCACCCATTATGACCCGCAGACTATCTGCTAAATATTTGAAAATACATGCAAGTATACATTTAGTTCTATGATTCACTTGACTCTTCAGAGGGTGAGTGATGAAAAGAACAAGTGAATTCATGTCAAACATTTAATAGAGCTACCAAACAATCATTAGAAAGTAAATACAAAGTTACCACCATGTTTTTATTGTAGCTACAGTTGTTGCATAGATTCTTCATAATAAAAAGATGTGACACTATTCACAACCCGTTCCCATAAGAAGCTATCTCGTGCTGAAGCTCTTTACTCCCTTGAACACTTTAGTTGAACCTTAGTTCCCTACAAGTTTGATAAAATGGATCATGCCAAGTTAGCTTATCCAACACAAAACTAATAAAGAAAGCGACATTTTGCCTTTGGAAGGGTGAGAAGACTAATAAGAGGGCAAGTTATTAACGAGCAAAGAGAAAGAGGCCGATGCTAATCCTCAAACATGCAGGATCCTTCGGGCTAGCCGCCCCTCCCCCTTGAAGAGACAAAAAATAGAGCCATGTCTAATGAAGGCGGCTATGCCTTTGTCGACCAAGGCAGCGAGTCCCCTCGAAGTTACTATTGGTGGTGGAGGTACAAAGAGTCCTGGGAGAGTGATACTTTCTACCAATTCTGAGGATCTTCCACTGAATATGAGGTTACAGAGGCCAGTACCTCTTGTGCGTCCAGTGGAAGTAGCGCCTGCAGAGGAGGTGGCTTCCACGAAGGTCATCGTGACCACCATAGAAGACAAGTTGATTGCTCAAGCAAGAAAATGTACGAAAAAATTATTTGCAATCTTTAAAGCATGCCCTATCTGGTGGTTGAGCATCCTCTGCAAATGAGCCAATTAAATGCCTCTCTTTGAACGAGCTACTGAAACATCCTTTGAGTGAGTTTAAAGTGTTAAATTTAATGTAATGGGCTCCAGCTTGTACACAAAGACAATGACTCTCCATGATAGGCTCCAAGATGTTCTTTTAAGGTGTTTTAGATAAGGAATTTTCCATCGACGACCCTTCATTATTGACCACAAGGGACGCTCAGGTTGCCAAGCTGTAAGTTATGGCAAAACTAGCAGTAAAAGGAAAGCAAGTTGGGAAGTTGCTGCATATCAAGAGAGGGCGCCCAGTGTGGAGGAGATGGCTCCAGCTCCTCACAAAATGACGACGCCAAGAAAGCCATAATTCTCATTGTCACGGGCTTCTCTAGCGATGGCATCTCAACACAAGGGCCGACCACATTTTAGATTGTTGGCAGGAGATGGCTCCAGCTCTCTCTGTTGGAAGCTCTCACACACGCAGAAACCTCTCCCCATCCCATTCTCCTCTTTGCTCCTCAACAAACCTGCTCCAGCCCTCACCTCTCCACTTACCTGCTCCAGCCCCTCCTCCCAAACGGCAACCTACCCAGCTTCACTCTTCTCCATGCGTCCAAGCAGCCAACACCAGCAAGCCGCAAGCTACTACTCCCTCACGTGAAGCTACAGCAGCCCCCTATCCTCTTCCACCCGCATGTCCCCTCTGCTCTCCTACCCGAACTCACACAGCTCCCTCCTCTGCTTCACGCAAAGAAGCCCCATCTCCTCCTTGCTATAGACGAACACCACCAGCCCACATACTCCTCTCACCCGTGCATAACAACAGCCCTCCACCTCTTCTTCCTCTCAAACTCATCCCTGCAGGCAGCCCATCACCGGCCAGCCCATTTCCTCGCCAACACTTCTCTTTCTACCACTCACAATAGCTCTCAGCATAATCTTCTCAACACCAAAACAGCCGCATAACTCCAACATTCACAGCTTCCTATACACAAAACAAAACCCTTCTAATCAACCTCACCACCCAATTCATCATCCACCTGAAGACTCTCCTGGTCCTTGTTCTCTACCCGATCTCCTCAAGCAGGCCATATCTGCACTTCCAGCAAACAAGCACATCTCCAACCACTTCCAAAAAGCCCACATCCCTCTAATTCCAAACCTGCTACATCAAACCATCTCCATTCCCCTTCACACAGTAAGAGAAGACCTCAACCAACTCTTCCTCCTCACCTAAGCAAAACATTAACCTTCCTACTCTCTATGCATAATATTAGAGTTTTGTTTATCTCTCTAGCATAATCTCTCTCTAAATCTATTATTGATATTATTATTATTAGCAAAAAAATATAAAGAAAAGCAAAAAAAAAATCAGAGAGAGAGATTTAAAACAAAATAGAGAAAGGGATTTATGTTTTGAATTGTTGTCTCGCCTCGACATAATTAGCAGCGCCTTGCTTATCAAGGTATCATGCTCGTTAATCTCAAAAACTCAAATCTCACTGTTGACGTTTACGACAAAGAATAGTAGACCTGGAATGAATACAGTAGCCCGCTTAAGGATAAAGATAGGAGATTTGTAATAAATATAGCCTGCCTACAAATAATATAAGTCAACTTGTAAATAATGCTTATATTGTCTGCGCACGAAAAGATGGAATATTGCAATGAATGCGATAGCCTGCCTACGAGGGAGAATAGGAGATCTTGTAGCGAGCAGGACAATTCTCCTACGACCTCAAACACGATCTCCTAGTGTTGATTGAAAAAACACACTCTACGAATTGAGCTAAATGATAACTTGAAGAAGACAAAATGAACTAAACAATATCTCTCCAATATAATACAACTAAAACCTAACTCATCTTCAATTTACGCCATCGGATCAACAACACTCGTACAAGCAGAAAAAATGCATTTTTTTTAATTTTAAATGAAATCTTGCACACTTTCCAATGATAATCACATGCGCAAAAGATATATTTAAATATTTTAAAAATCCCCATCATGCATGAAAATATAATTCACTAAACTTAAACGTGATGCATAAAAATGCATGCATGTTAATTTAAAAAGAAGATTTTTATACCATGCATGTGCTTCAACAATGCTAAATCTACAAACATAAAGGTTGAGAATGCTGTGTTGGTCAAATATTTGAGTCTAATCCTCCTCCTTGAAAGGCTTGGAGTCGACACGACTTGAATTAACGAGAGAATGGTGGATCACAAATCTTCAAGTATATTTGAATCTAAAGTTCACATGGGTCTTCAAAAATTCTTTAAATGAAACTCATCATTAAATACAATCTCTCGATTTTAGCATTCACATATTCATCGATTGTTGAACCCAATCCTATGTTAGTAGATGAATAGAGTTGACAAGGTTCAAATAATTAATTATTTAATTTATCTTAGATGATGATCGTGTTGAATGTTTATCTTAACCGGAGGAGATTCTATTTTTTCAACTCTGAATTTATATAAAATACAAATATTTTCAATCAACTATAATATCACCCTAATAATGGTTGGGTTGAAAGTTAAATCAATCGAAGGGGTTAATTTTTTAATCCTACCAAAAAATCTAAAGATCTACATTTATTAAGATTTTTTTATATTTAAAATTGAAATTTAATCATTTTGTAACTTAAGAAAAAACTCATCCATCATCTGTAACCGTTTGGCGAGGATGATGAACTCAAGGATAACTCTAGCTCACAAAGAGCAATGTCCAGTCGAGAATATCACTCAGATTTATTCTAAAATTTCATTCTACCAGTAAGAATGTGGCATTTGTCCTCAAACTGCTGGCTTGGCCAATACAACTGCACTTTAACTCATAGCTTGTCCATAAAACTCTACGTGGTATGGTTATGACTGGCCGACTAATAAATAGTGTCACACTCTATGATCTATATTTGAAAAATTACACATCTTTTATTTTAACAATTTAACTAAAGCTTATCAATGAACAACGAAAAAAAGCATGATTACATTTTTATCTTGTTCAGAACCTCATATCATAGGATCCTTACCCTTTTCTAAACACATAAACCACGTAATGAGCACAAAGCCTAGCAAGTAACTAAAATCTTACAACTAAAATCAATGCAAGATAAAAGAGAATAATATGTTATAAATCATATTAAAAATATATGCATAAATAGCTATACTAATTATCTATATCAATTTATTCTGCTACAATTCATCACATCTCAATCAATTACATCATCAGTCATAATATTAGTAATAGTTAACAGTACGAATGTCAGTAACAATATTATTATCATGATTAATAACATTAAATAATGTTAATGATAGTAAATAATATTAGTATCAATTATAATATCAATACAGTGTTCGTAGCAGTGACAATATCAGTATTCAGATATATAATTAGTGTATCTTAAGAGCATCTTGCTCCTGCACTTATGACTCTCAATCAGTCACACCTTATAACTCTAAATCAATATACTCCTTATAACTCCCCTTGAATCATGTGAATCAATTGAACCGGCATCTTATAACTCCCAATCAATCTTCAGCTCCTTATGACTCTCAATTAGTGAATCACGTGGATCAGTAGAGAGTTAGCATATCATGTATCTGATATCATTACATACTTCATTTAAAATGCAATAAAATCATATCAAATCATTCAGAATAATCAAATCTATAATAAATCCAAACTTGCACGGTAAAAGCTTATGAAATCAACAAATAATGTATTTTTTGTAGATTTATGAGAAATAAAATTCGTAGAATTCAAAATAATTGAAAAAGAAGTAAGAGATTAGGCATTTACAATGAATATAATAAAATATGAAATATAAAATGACTGGAAAATATGATCTAAAGACATTTCTCTCTCCTTTTTTTTCTTCCCATCTTTCAATTTCTTCCTGGCCAAACAACCAAGTGAAGGAGTCGTTGGGGTAAGGCGGGGATGTATATACACACACACACAATGTTCATCGTCTAGCGCCGCAGAGCTCACAACATCAATGCTAAAGCACTCTACTTCAGAATTTTCATGTTTTTTTCAAATAGATTTATTTCACACATTTGAGTTATTACAAATAGTTTGGTCAGATGGCTCCATAAAGAACTCGTGGCTTGGTCAGACCGGCTTCAAGTGGTTAACAAGTATGATCATGGCCCTCTAACATAGTGGCTTGGTCGAACAACTCCACTATATTACAGTCATAGCTAAAAGTTTGTATGTTCCCCAATGGCTACTTAACATTGAGTAATGAATTATAGGATATAATCGATAGGGCAATGTCCTCTATTAGTTATGGATGGTTGACTTGAATTCGTCCCTTAGAAAAGAATTCACCCCAAGTCCACAAGGTCCCTATGTACAAAGCAACACATGGCTGCCGACAAGGATCCTTTGATCATGTTGGATCGACTACCTCCTTCTAACTAAGCAGACTATAGACCATGATGATTCGGGACTACAAAACTATGTGATCTTGTTCGTGTTCATCATCATTCTCCCATCATCCGCTTTAAGTGATGCGTGATAAAATTTCCAATTTTAAATATCTAGATCTACTGTTATTATATGCTCAACGACTAGCCTTAATCGAAAGTTCTTTCTAGTTATCGAGATAAGTAATTAACTATAAGGGCTTGTGCCTATCGGAAACCAGAACTCACATCTTAAAGTCCTCGCTGAGAAGGCGAAATCTCAGGGTAGTATTTTATCTCTATCTAATCCGTCTTCCGAAATTTTCTCTTGGAACTTAATCCGTTAAAACTCTCCTTGAATATAATGCAAAGAGGTTGTGGCCTAAAAGCTCAAATTTTTGGAGCTCACAGTAATAATAAGGTATAATTTTATGGTTGAAATCTATTTGTGTTGGGATAGTCTAGACAGATGAATTTCCTACTCACTCGATCTTGATGAATGTAGTTTAAGATGGGTGTTAGTAAGAAAGATATATGTTGAGATTTTTTTATCTCTGTTACAGCTTAAGTTGACTAAGGAGGGGCCAAAAGGCGGTGTGACCCAACCTTCTTTCACAAAATGGATTGTGGCACTACTTTCGAAGCACAAAATTATTAATAAAGGATCCTTTGTGTTTGATTCGAGTGACAGTAGTCAACAACGACAAACTACAAGCACAATATTACGTGAAATTTCTTAAACGATATTCGTTCGTGAAATGAACTGTGACATCGCGTCTAAAATGTTGAAATTACTAGGTAATGACAAATATAATACTTAGGTGCCTGCATGAGAAAAATGCCCAAAAATTCACTAGCACTCACAGAATGAGGATGAAATTCAACTTGTGCGAGCAACAAAAATTTGGCGAGCAAATCAATGTGCATTTAAAAACCTGTACCGATCGTCCCGGACGATCCAACTTCGTCCCGGACGAACCTGGAGCAAAAACTGATATTACACTGCACATGTTGTTGTTGTTGTAACCCCTGAACGCCAAAAGGCCCCCTACCGCCAATCTCCTCTTCCTTTCCCTTTTCTTCTACTTATTCTTCTTCTCCTCCTCCTCTTTCTTCTTCTCTTTTTCTTCTTCTTCTTCTTCCTCTTTTCCTTCTTCTTCTTCATCCTCTTCTTCTCTTTCTTTCTATATCTTCCACTCCTCTCCTCCTTTCTCTCTCTCCCTCTTCTCACTCATTTTTTTCTTTCTCTTCTCTCTCACCTCCTCTATCTCTATTTATTTCTCTTTCCAAACAAAGACAATGAGTTATTTCTATCTTTCTCACACTCTTTCTCTCTCTCTCTTCCTCTCATCCACACTCTCATTATCTTCCTAAATAGAAAGAAAAAGGTCTAGTATCCCTCTCTAAATGTCTCTTCCTCTCTATAACAAGAGAGAAATCCTCTCAATACATCTTTTCTCTCTAAAAAGAGAAAGAGACATCTCATTTTCTTTCTCTAAAAAGAGTGAGAAATCACTCATTCTCTCTAAAAAGAGAGAAACCCCATTTTCTTCCCATCTCCCTTTCTCACTCTAAAATAAATCAGAAAAAGAAAATATATATAAAAGAAAAAATATAAAAAGATAAAGGAACACCGCTTAAATTTCATTCTCAAATGATCTCCTACAAGTAATAATGAGGCTTGTGTCATCTAACTGATGATTTTGCCTTTAAATAGCACCACAAATAAATGGTCACGACTGATGCCCACTAACTAAGTAATTTTGTTGCAGAAATGCACAAATAAATTACAGTCATAGTCAAGTTCGTATGGTTTCCAATAGTTAAAACCTTCGAGTAATAAATTATAAGGTATAGTTGATAGGAGATAAAATCCTATGTTAGCTAAGATTGACTAAAATTTATCCCACTAGACAAACATCCACCTTAAGTCAGCAAGATATCCTTAGACAAAACAACTCATGACTTCAGACAAGAATCATTTGGTCAACTTGAGTCTACAACCTCTTTTGATTAAGTAGACTAGGGAACACAACAACTTGGAACGACAAAAGTACGAGATTTTGATCAGGTCGATCTATCATGATTCCCCCACAATCTGCTTTAAATATATGGTATTAAATTTCAAATTCCAATACCAAAAATTATTGCTATTATATGCAAAATAATTAGTGCATATCTAATAACTAGCCTTAATCCAAAATTCTCTCTCGTTACTAAGATAGGTAATTAACCCTTATAAGAAATCTGGAACCATATCATAAAATAATAATGAAATCTTTGTGCAATGACTTATCTTAAATCTAATTTACCTTCTAAAAATTTGACCAAGAACATTACGTTAAAACTCTCCCAATGCAAAGGAGCCAAGGCGCAAAATTTTTTAAGCCCACAAAATGCACTTACATCAATTTTTATTATTGTTAGAGTCCCATAGAAGAGAAGCGAAGCTAAAGTAGACGATCCTTCTAAGATCTCTTGAAAATCAAACCGGCCTTTTGGCTCTAATTTAAGTCATTGAATCGAATAATGAGTCAAATTCACCTCTAATTGAACTTGAAATAAGCCAAACCTAAATTGAATTGAAATATCTATACATTTTATTTATACTTGGATTTGAATTAATGTATATAAAAATCTATATAATTATATATGTAAAACTACGCATGCATAATTTGCATAAGTATTTATTAAGACATTGGCTTCAAATATTGAAAATTGATCGAAACTAAATAAAGTTTTGGGATTAATCAAAGTTAATGAGCATTGCTTGGCATTAATCAAGATTTAACATAGCCAAAATATAACAAGACATTGATGTGATCTTAAGCGACACTAGATTTGCTCGAGATTGAATAGTTAACAACCCTACACCACATACATAGGTGAAAGTGGACAATGAACCAGAGAAATCCTTTTTTGCACCTCTCAAATCAAAATAGTTTCATCACCATCTCAAAGTTAAAAATTAAAAAAAGGGAGATATAGGCAACTATCTTCTCATACACCATGCTCCTCATATAGAAATGTCACATGTAATAGATTTTAAAAAAAATTCTATACTTCGAGTGTGAAAAGAAGCATGGTCAACGGATTATGACAACAATGAATGACCAATTATTCTTATGGGGATAAAAATAGTTCAATCATATATAAAATGTCTTCTTCATGATATTACCACAGCAGAAAAATAATGAACGAAAACAGTAGTTATTGATAAGAAATATTACCATCTGCTCAATAATTGGACCTGCATCAAGTTCTGGAGTTACAAAGTGAGTTGTAGCACCAATCAATTTAACCCCAGCACTATAAGCCTACTGAACATACAAACGAATGGCAAAACCGACTACTAAGAAAATATGTAGAACAACTTAAAAAAACGTAGGAAGAAAAACGTCAAAAGTTTAACCTGCTTGGCAGGATTGCTACCCTTAAATGATGGAAGAAGCCCATGATGAATGTTAATTATATCTTTACCGTAACTCTCCAAGAAACCAGCAGACAGTACCTGTTAAATTGGCAAGTTAAAATTCTACTGCAGCCATATAAACATGAAAAATATAACAAATGGACAAAATGATAAAATTGGGCGTAGTATAATTCAATCTCAAGCAAAATGCTCATTATAACATAATCATTGTTTGCTTCACACGATCTCACTATCAGAATTCTACCATCAGAAGAATCATTCAAAATTTAACTTCTCCGCTTAAATGATCATATCTTGTAAAATGAAATAGATAAGAGTCATTATATGTAATGATAAAGAAGAATTCTCCAATTGGATCCATGGATCAAAATTAAAGCGATCTAAAATAAACACAAATAAGAGGCAGTCAAATGGAGTATAGGCTTGAGACTGATTCCAAGGTATAGTTTCGATATGAAAATTGCACAAGAGAACAGTTTCATGTGGTCTGACCATAAAGAAAAGCACGTTAGTAAAATGCAAATGTCCAAAAGGGATTGTCTCATTACACAGCAATGACCAATAAAACATCATTCTTGTGATCATCATTAGCCCTTATCCAAATCATTTGGGGTTGACTTTATAAATCCTTATTCTTTGTTTGTTCTTGTTGGGAATCGCATGTGTATAATACACCAATTAACAAAAAATCTATTAATCAAATCTTATTTATTGATTTGATGCACCATGAGAAGATTATTTCTAGAAGATTCTAGTACTTAGGATTATTGTATTATTTTATTACAATTTTCTTTAATTTAATTATTAGAATTATCTTTCTTTTACATTAGAAGATATGGTATTGAGAAGTTTTTTATATTTGAATTAATTTGGTAATTAAATTAGTATGGTTCACCTTGCAAACCTATTTCTATGAAAAGGAGTTTGATTACTATTATTTGAATGAATTAGAATTGAAATTGGAATTTTATCTAGAATCCCTCTATCTCTAAGATGATGGCTCCTCCTCTCCTCCCAACTGCTATTTCTATATTCAAAAATTTTCTCTCTCCTCATTAACTACTACAATACCCTTGCTATAGTGTTACTACAACAATCGATCCCGCCTTCTTTCTTCTCTCTTCTCTCAAACTTCTCTTTTCAATCCATGTATGACTATAACAGAAACGGAGTCACTTTTGAGAGAAGGAAGAAGAAGATTAAGGAGATTTTCAATAAGGGCCATCATCAAATCAACATCAAGTCAATTCTTATTCTACATAAATTTGGTATCTAAGCTAAACATCCGATAGTATTTGTATTTGATCAACCCTATTATTAAGCCATATAAATTCCGTTCATCTATTACCAAGGCCTGGGTAAAGCCAAGAAAATTGATTTGTGTAAGATGCAAAGATTACAACTATGAGATACATCACAAATACTAAAATTCATTGGGGAGCTACAAATTTTTTAGTTCACTTCAGAATTGATGAATTTATTGACATTTTTCATCAATCATATAAGTATGAAACAATGTTATCGATATAGCTTATATATGAGCTAAGTATATATTTCATATGGGCATAAGCCTTATATATTATTTAGTACCGGATTTCCACGGAAGGGCTTCTTTGTACCTCTTTTAGGGGAAGAGTTCTACTAGACCCAAGGAAACTAACAGAGAACCAAAAAATTAATTATAAAAATCCTAACATTTTGGATTATGTTAGAATTTATTTTAGCATTAACTAACTTAATTAATAGGACTATCTTTATTTTAAATTGCTACATCGAATAGTTTATGAGCGCACAATAAATTTTGCCAAACAATTTTTGAGAAGCCAGATTTTTAAACTTTTCACATATGATAAAGAAGAAGAAAAGATTTTTCATCTGGGCCCTTGGTGCCAGTGAAGTCTAGGTACTCCTATAAGAGCCTCCCAAAACCTCGCTCTTGTTTCTCCTCTCCATCTGTCACCGATCCTCTGCTATCTGGGCTAGCTCCATCATCTCCCTCAACTCCCTCGCTTTAGAAATCGGAGGTCCGCTCGTATGTCGAGCTTGACCCCCTTCATAAAATTTCCCTCTAATATTGCCTTTGAAATTCCCATTAACCTTCCTGATAACAACTCGAATATCTCTCTGGACTCTATGACAAATCCCTCCTAAGTCAAGGCAAGGAATTGCCCGTGTAAGTCTCCTTCCCGAATGGCTCGAAAATATTCCAACAAGCAATACTTAAACTCCTCCCACGAACGGATCGGATATTTAACCTCTCTCCATTAGAACCAAGCGAGGGATTTCTCCTCTAGACATAACCCTGCGGCTGTAAACTTCTCCTCCTCTCTCAACTCATTCACCGCAAAATATCTCACCACTCGGTATACCCACCCATGGGCATCCTTCCCTTCTAATACCGACATCTTTAGCTTCCTCAGTTTCACTTCTCCACCCCAACTTCCTCATTAGCCATTGGTTCCCCCAGTAACGAGGGCTGGAATCCTACTTTTCCTCCATCCGCCTCCCATGATCTGGTCCCCCATGGTTCGGCTCGTCTACCTCATTTTCCGATTGTTCACTCTCATTACCCAAATGGCCTCGCATAGTGGTCAATCTGTTATAATCCAAAAAATTTTAAATGATTTTTGAAGGAAAATTCTGAATTTCAGCATCGTGCCTTACCGAAGAGGAGGGAGGGAAGAGAAAGAAGATTGTTCAGGGCTTTTCATCCTCAATTTTGCTCCGAAATTTATTCTATTTGTTATAACTCAGAAGAGGAGGGAGGGAATCCCGGTCAAATTGTGGTAAGGGTTAGCACTTTGAACCATCAGTGGATTTTTGGATTGCATCTTCGGGAGCTTCCTCATGATCTCCTCCATGCCTCCAAATCGGCTCTCCATCTAATTCTCCATGGTTGAAAACCTTCCTTCCATGGTGGATAAACTTTCCTCCATCCCAGACTTGATTTGCTCCAATTCATCTTCCAACGCATCCGCCTTCTTTGCTGACATCTCTCCAAAACCTCGCTCTGATACCAATTTAATACATCTTGGAAGTAAAAACAGTAAGAGAACAAGTAGAAAACTATATGAACTTGAAAATAGGGACTGATTTTTTATTATTTCTTCAACAAGAAAGAAATATACAAGTGATCTACTATTCGAGAGGTAGATCAGCTCTCCCACAAACCTAGACGCCGCTAGCAAACTCGCAAGAAAGAAACTACAACAGAATAATTTGCATGAACAGAAAATAACACATCCTTAAATAGACTCCCCTACATCCCTCATAAATCAACCTCATTTGCTTAATTAATTCCCTCAATATTGAACTCTTTCTCTAAATAATTCCCTCCCAATTATCATTAAAACCTTCCTAATTATCTCTCCCTATATATTTCTCCTCAATTTTGAACTCTTTCCCTAAATAATTCTATCCCAATTATCATAAAAATCTTCTTAATTATCTCTTCCTAAATTTCTCTTTCTTACATAATGCATTGTAGTTTACTTGGGCCCCAAAAGGGGACCAAATCCTCCCTGCACTTAACAGATTGTTAGCAGCCATATTTATAATAAGAAAGTGTTCAAGTGCAACCACTCCACATAATTATTTTTAGTAGTAAGAGGGATCAATAAATCTTAGTGAATAAAAGAGCTTAGAGTTAGAAGTGCAGTACCTGCATGTATCTGGCCAGAACAAGAAAATCAGTGCCTTTAACTAAATCGAGAATCTCCCTTTCTCTTTTATTTCCTTCGTCAGCCGGCAGATAATAATATGGAATGCCATGTCTCTTAAGAAAATTTATAACGTGAGTATTTGGAGCTCTATCATGATTGCTGCAAAATGGTATTTCATGTCAGTTGCCAAAATTTTGTAAATGGTAAATGAAACCATTTTCTGCTGCACCTTATTACACAACTTATATCCACGGGAAGCCTACCATCTTGCCAATCATGCAATACATCCACAAGGCAATGGTCCTGTAAGTGCAAAGATCAAGGAGATGGGATCTCAAAGAGCATGTGAGTGACAAATAAATTTGGAGAAGATTCAAAAAGAAATGAATTTTAAAACTAAAGAGGAATCACATGAAGCTCAGAATATTTATGTCTAGCATACCAGTTAAAAGTGACGTAGAGATGCACAGTAGCCCCAAGATTAGTCGATTCAAAATATGCATGCACCATGACTTGCAAGAAAAGATTGAAGAAGAATCAAGGATAGAATACAGACCAAAGCCAGACCTGGTTTGAAGCAAGAAGTGCAATCTTATATTTTGGATCAAGATCAGGGACCCGAACAACTGATCTTTTTGCATTGAACAGCTTTCCTATGTTCATGAAATCATTCAGCATCACATCATGGGGCCAGCGTACGGGATCAAAAACAAATTCACTGCAAATTTGTAGCAGCTCCTATCATTAGGTTTCTCCAATCACGCAAAATGTTTGGAAAATTAAGCTTACTAAAGTACCAAAATAATGGCCATCCAGCAATTGGTACATAATTTGAAATCTACTTAAAATCAGACAAGGGAATTCACAATTTCGTTTGCTCAGAAACTAAAACCTTCCAAGATGGGTGTGCGCTTTGAAATTGTAGTACAGATAGATCACATGATCAAACGATAGCTTTAGTTTAGACAAATTCTTCTTTAAGAACTTCAATTTTCAGTAACTTCAGTATAACAACTACTGTAAAATGAGCTCAATGAAGTGAGGGCAAGAAGAAGAGCAAATTCAAAAGGGAGACATGGATAGACTGCTTTGCGAATTTCAGATTTGCCTCAGACAGAAAGGCAAGTTCCTACCTTTTTCATTCGGATGGCAGACTGTAAAGCGAAGTCTCATTTAACTTTAGAATGAGAAGACAGAGGAAGATGAAAGTTCACTTAACAAAACAAAACAGGAAGAATTTCAGATTTTGGAACGCGTGAGTACATAAACAAGAATCAACAAAAAACCTGAAAACTTCAGTAAGATTTTCTTTAGCACTGCTAGCTTTTTTGGCACTTTGAAAAGCATTAAATATGAGTTCAGGATTTACCAGCCACTAAATAACCTAGTAGAGAAATATCATAAACTAACTTTATTGTATTTTATATGTTTCCTTTTATAGTCATATCACATTAAGTTGTCATTCAATTTAGGTGTTAATACACCTTCTGATGAGGACATCCGACCATGAAAATTTATCAGAGGACGAGCTGAAGATTGACGGCCATGATTATACTACTTTATTTTGAGTTATTATTTGTATTTTGATCTATTTATGCATTTTTCCGTTTTTACCCCATTTGAAGGAGTAGACATATGTGACCCTAGGGGGCGCTTTTGTCATATGTCTTATTATTGTATTTTGGCTATTTATAGCCCCCTCCTCTTTTGAGGGGATGGATGATTATTAAGAAAAAAATTCTACACTTGTTTTTAAGAGCTTTGAGAGTTATTATGAGAGTTGAAGTCCCTAGGTGAGCGAAACGTACTACCCACCAACCGTAGGAAGCGTCTGGGCTCGTGGTTTGAAGTCCCTAGGTGAGGGTAAAGCATTACCCATCAGCCACAGAAAGTGTCCGGGCTCGTGGTTTATCTTTTCTACCATTTCCCCTTCTTCCTTCTTAGCCTCCGGCCCCCTCCTCCCTCTCCCTCCCTTGGCCGAAGTTCCCCACCTTAGCCCTAGTCCTAACTCCATCCTCCATTCTCTTTCTTAGCCGAATCCCCATACCCAAAACCACTCCTCTCCTCCTCCCAACCACCAGTTCAAAACCCCTCATCTTCCTAGCCGCCGGCCCAAACCCTAAAACCCTTCCCCTCCTCCAAGCCGCCGGCCACAATACCCCTACTTTGCATCCAAATTTCAAATCCCCAAATTAATGTTTTCCATTAATAACACATTTTAAATTAGGAAGAATTTTTAAATTCATATTCCAATCTATTGGAATTTAAATTTTCTTTCCTAAAACAGGAGGAGTTATATTAAGAAAGTCCCTCCAATCAAGGCCTTTTAAATTTGAATTTAAATTGGAGAGATAATTTATATTAAATTATCTTTCCTAATTTAAATTGACTTAGATTGGAAGCTCAATTAAATCTCCTCCAATCTTCTTTAATGCATGTGGGCCTCTCTCTCTCTCTCTATCCTCTAATTAGGAGGCTCATTAAAGCTCCCCTAATTAAGCCATCAATTCCCCAATTACCTCTACCTTTTTGGCTGAAATTAATTTCAACAATTTTGAATTTGTTTCCCTCCCAATTCAAAAATCAAAGTTTTCAAATCAGATTTAAAATCTAAAATTATTTTTCTAAAATAGATGGGTTAAATTAGGAAAGGCCTCACTATTCAAATTAATTTAAATTTTGAAAATGAGATACTATAAATCTCCTTTCCTAATTTAATTTTCCAAACTTAGCAACCCCTCTTAATCACTCAATTAAATCCCTATCAAGGGGTTCGCCCACCCATCGTCCCTCCTTTAATTGGAGAATATTCAAATTCAAACTTTTTCATCCTCTCCAAACATTAAAATTTGAAATTAAATTTCAGATTTTGAATTGTCCAACCATGACTAGCTTGGTTCTACATCACCTTCCTTTATTAGATAATATTATATTTATAAATATTGTATAAACTCTTCAGTGTAAAGATTAACTTTTTCCTTATCAATTATAATTTCTATTATGGTATCAGAGCAACTCATCTCAATTGAGTTTTTCCCATGGCTGGCTCCCCCTCCACCGTCTACTCCCCATTTCATAGATCTCAATTGAGTTTATATTGAACGTTATTGATTGAGATGAGCATGCACATAGATTCATTAAATCTTGTATTAAAAGTTTTAGTGAGTTGTGAGTTTCTGTTGGGCTTTGTAAGCTCACTATATGATTTTAGTGATTTCAGGCCAGTAAAGGGATCAAGACTCTGTGGAGTTAGGTGGATTGAGATTTTCAAGTTTCTTCTTTTATTTTGTATCTTTGTTGTATTCTTTTATAGTCAGGAGCTATTGATAGATTAATTGATTATTAGTGATTTCTTGGTTATTGCATATATGATTTTGGAGAATGAATATAGTGAAATATTTCAATATGTATAATATTTAATTACTTGTGATGGATAGATTGATTTATAATGATGCTTTATAGAAGCTCTGGTAGAAGATTTAACAAGATAAATTAAACAATTCTTCCAATTTAAATTTTGAGTTACACCACATCCCTAAATAGCAATCATTGGGATAATTCTTTACCCACTCATATTCAATATGATTCTCACCCTTTGTATGGTATATTCACCTCCACCACTCGAAATAACACTTCACTTATCTTCAATCTTCTGGTCCCCTTCACAACAGTCACCACATGCAAAATAGAGCAAAAATTAACATTCACAAACTTCTCACCAAGCTCACTCTCACAACCTCCCTTTCACCCTCTTTTGTCCCTGAACAAACCCTTGTTTCTCAAGCCATGCAACAATTTGAATGGTATGCTGTCATTTCAAAGGAGTTCACAGCTCTTAATAAAACCTACAAATGGTAACAACAATATTGCTGCGTGAGCAGTTATTACGCTAAAAATCCCTAGACAAATATATCATAATGAATTATTTTTATCAATCTGCAATTAACTTTGGAATACCGAACAAGCTCAAATAATAATGCTCCAAGAAAATGAACCGCAACAAGGGTTCTATAGATCCTAAATCAGAATTAGTGCCTATATAAATTCATTTTATCACGACGCCAAAAAACTTAAAGAGTCTTAAAGAGGGATAGAACATTTAAAGAAGCATAATAAAGTTGTCTGCATGCATAGAACAATTGACGATAATCATACTTGTTCTGCTTGATAATCAATCAATATTCCCCAAGCCGGTGTACAATACTATGACGGCCGAGTAGCACTTTTTGTCGGTTTATGATAGGCTCAAGTGTAGTTATAGATTGGCTCAATTCAATCTTAGTTCAAGTTTAAGTATAACAAACTGACTTTGATTTGAACCTTTTTTTTCGAATAATTTTCAATCATCTAATATAAATTTTTAATCCGGCGTACATACGTACATTCAGTTCAAGTCCTCTTCAAGTTAGGCTTGACTTGTTAATTGGCACATTGGCTGACTTCCAATCTCCGTCTTAACCAAAGTCCAATTGGGGGGAGAGGAAAACTGACCTGCGGGAGTAGAAGACCTGTTTTTTCTCAGGAACGAAGACATCGACGTAATGAATGTTGGCCCCGTGCTGGGCGATGCATTCGGAGAGCTTGGCGACGATTCCTACCTCGTCCTGAACACCCACAGTTCTACATCGATGATGAGTAATCAGCAACGAAGAAGAAGAAGAGGAAGAGTGAGAAGATAATTAGTAGAGGCCTACCGGGCAATGGAAGACGTGGATTCCATGGATGAGTGATGGTGAATTGGAGCTTAGCGGAATGGTTGAATATCGAAAGGCCCTCGTAATTTGGAGGAAGTTCGACAAGGCGCTTCTCCGAAAAGCCATGGCCTTTGCTTTGCTTTGTTTTATCTCTATTTTCTTGTCTGGCAGCTTTATTCTTTGGTTCAGAGCTAACAGAATTAGAAGCCAGACGTGAATTGAATTTTGAGAACCACAAAATGGTTTTGATTTTGCTAAAAGAATTATTTAAGTTAATTAGTTTTCAAACCAAGCGAGTCATTAAGCTTACAAAAACTTTAATGGGCAAATTTGAATATTTATCTATTTATTTTATTTTAACAATTCATCTTATATTAATACAAAAACTTGTTTTTATATCGTACGAATAAGCTCAAAAGCTTCAAAATTACACATTTTTTTATCCTAGCGTTTTGAAAGCCAAGATAAAATAAATAAATAACCGAATGAACAAGTAAAAATTATTCCGTCAGGTTACCTACGTAGAGCTACATCAGGTAGCTTATAATATGTCGTCACGTGCACTTACTCTTTACCGCACGGCCTGACGACCCGACTCGGACTGAATCCGGGATTACTATGTTCGTGTATTGCTCGGTATTACTCGGTATTGCTTGGCAATAACGAGAAATACCACTATGTGAAGAGCAATACCGAGCAATACCCAGTAATACCTAAAAGAACTCGGTATTGCTCGGTATTGAACTCGGTATTGGTTTTCACATAATAGTATTTTTCATTTTTGTCGAGCAAAATCGACCAATACCTAGCAATACCGAGCTACGCAAACTCCCGGGTCCGTTCCGGGTCGGGTCGTCGGGCCGCGCGGTAAAGAGTAAGTGCACGTGGCGACATATTATATGCCACCTGATGTAGCTCTATGTCGGATAACCTGACGGAATAAATTTTCCTGAACAAGTGACCACAGTACTTTGCTATGAGAAAAATATTATTAATTCAAAAAATTTCAAAATAGTGATTTTTATTTTGTATGGGACAACTTTTTTTGCAATTTTTTAAACAATTTTTAAATACAAAAATTTTATACTAGAAAGTTTATTTAAAAAATAGTAAGAAAGCCTTCCAAAATGGAGTCTTAGGCTTCATTTGGGATGGCTTTTTTACTGCTTCTTAAATTAGTTTTCTAGTACGACAATTTTAATGCTTTTACTCGAAAGCTGCTCTAAAAAACACTAAAAAATCGTCTCAAATGAAACCTTTGTCGAAGAGAGTATAAATTTTCGAGCAACAATGTTGGTTTCGCCTGGATCTTAGGAAGCCTCGTTGCAACACAAAATACATAATAAGATTGCCATTGTAAATTTACAAATAATAAAAAGAAAAAAAAAACGAAACAAATCCATTGACAGTACAGCAGCTAAGCATTCTTACTGGAGGACTGGTTTTCTGAACAACTCTGTAAAAAACAGCTGCCTTAATAGAAATAATTCTCCAAATGGAAATTAAAAGCAGCCTAAATTTTAAATGATGAAGATAATATGTACATTTTGACCTATTCTGATAGTTAAAGAATTTGCAAATCTTTCATTGGGCTTTATTTGTGAGCATACAAAGCAAGCAAAAGTTGCAAACTATTTCACAAAAGTTTTTTTTTGGGAGAATTTGGGGACTCAGCCCTTCTATTAATAAAGAGAAATTACAGGAAAAAAGGCCTATCCCAAAAAAAGGAAGGAGGACAAAAACATAAAACAATAACTATAAAAGAAAAACCTATACCACCAATAAACAAAAACCGAACAAAAGTGGTATACAAAATTTGATCAGGACTCAGGTATTAGCTGCAGCGGAATTAACGAGGGACTCGGTCATCGCATTGATCCAAAAATTACCCCTGGTTGCCAAAAAGACCCTCCAAGGGGTAGGGCTGCAGCGGTCATCATCGTCCTGCAAAATTGTCTGAAATAACCAAAAACCTTTGTATCTGGAAGACCGAGAGGGCCACCAAAAAAACGCCCAGCAGCAGTTATACTCAATAGAATTCAGCCCAAACCATAAGCAGCACCAACAGCCATTATAATTGGAACGTTTCAAGATAAAAACACCAGCCAAATGCCAACCGCAGATGGTAGCACAAGGATACCAATTACCCCAACAGATGCAGTAAATTGCTGCCATTTTTCCATCTCCCCAATTTAGCCAGTACAGCATACTTAATCTTTCTGACCACAGTAGTGTGACAGTCAATTTTGTTGCCAAAAATTCTGTCATTACGAGCACGCCAGGTATAGTAAATAGCAGTATTTACCACCAAGCAGTAGAAGTTCAGAAATTCAGACGAGTCCGAAATATCGTCCAGAAAGTAAAACATTTGGTGTATGTTCGGACGAAGAAGTAACGAATGTGCTTGGGGGATTAAAGCACAGAGGATCTTAAAAGAATAGTCACATTCAAAAAACAGATGAGAGTGTGATTCATTACTCATCAAGCAGAAGATACAAAGTGGATTAACAGTAATACCACGCCTAATCAAGATGTCAGCCGTTTTAAGCCCGTTCTTAACAGCCAGCCAACCAAATGCAGAATATCTGATAGCCGAATGTTTATGCCAAACAAAATGATACCAATCCATCACCGAGTAATGTATATAAAATTCTTTCCTAAAAATTTTGTTGGTAACCTTCTCAGAATATGACCAGAAGCAACCAGTGGCAGCATTACTAATTGGAACAGAATTAATGATAGTCGTGAGAGCATAGGGCCAGCCATAAGGTAAATTCCAGCTACCATTCAAAAGAATGGTAGACACGGAATTTTTGTTGAGATTATCCAGCCAGCACCCACCCAAATTAGAAACAGCCAACTCAGAGATAGAATTACCATGGCACCAGGGGTCCCAAAAAAGGGAATGGTGACTGTTAGGCAGGATCCTAAAATTCAGACAGTGCTTAATTTGAGCAGCAATAACAGAAATTTTGTTCCAGAACATAGAACTGCCTTTGTTATGAGGGAACCAGAGAGAGGTGTAAAGGTTACGCCAGCAACAAAATAACAAATTGCTATCATTAATGAATCTCCAGATAATAGAACAAGAGAAAGTGAAGTTTAAAGCATCAAAAGAGGGAAGACCAATCCCACCATTAATTTTTGGAATGCAAGTGTCTTTCCAGGCAATAAGACGAAGCTTTTTAGCTGCAATGTCACGAGAATAAAGGAACCGAGAGCAAAGCCTATCCAAATATTTGACAAAAGTTGATTGAACCATTCACATAAAACTTCAAAATAAATAAATAAAAAAATCTACATTGTTACAAAATTTCTACAACGGAATCTATAGTATAAAACCAGCTTTTCCTATTTTTATTCTTTACCTGAAAGAAAATCAGTTATGGAGAAGAAAGAAAATGAGAATCAGCATATAAAGACATAAACGATGATAGATTGCTGAACAAATTAATTCCATTTATCTCAACTGTGCTGGGAAAATTTTTAGGTGGGGACACCGGACAGAGAGAAATTATCATCATTCGGATATGTCTACAGTCAAAGTGCAGCTGCTACAATACCTATGCTTTGACTGCACTTTTACTATAGACAGAAAGAAATCTGGATAATTCTCTTTGTTAGGTGTCCTAACCTAACAATTTTCCCTGAGCTGGAGAGCAGAGAAGACCTGATGCATCTGCGCCGACCACCGCAATCTCACAAATAGTGCACTGCTGTCCTTGAATGGAAGGGATAAATCTAGCCCCACAGTAAGGACATGAGACATCCTTTTGTCCACGGTATATTGGAACAAAGGTGGCTCCACATACCACAAAAGGATTTCTGTAATCATAATTGAGCTGATGAGCATCCTTTTTATCACCACAGGCCTGCAGAACTTGTCTTGCCTTTCTTGATTGATTCTCAGTTGGGCTATTCTCTAAAAGCATCCTTGCGAAATTGGCTGCTGTAGCATAATTTCCTCCCTTGAAACAAGTGATCATGGCACTTGTGAGAACCAACCTTGAGTGAACCTTCTGAAGCTTACAATTTGTAAAGAATGCTGAAAGCTCTTGTTGCCGAATCACATCACCTTTGATTTCCTTTCTTTTGACTTCAATCTTCAAGCCCAAAACATACTCTTTAGCGATCTCAATTAGCTCCTTGACTTCATCAACCTCTCTTCTAGAATCCACAACAACAAGAGGGATGATGTGTAAGATATTGAGAAATAGTCTTAAAGCCTCTGGGAACCTCCCTTCCGTTGTTGTTCGGTAAGCAGCCTTGAGTTTTTCATCCATTTGTGAGAACTTGAATGTTAAAGATGGCGGATCCCTAACATTAGGACTGGCAGACTCATTCCAGGCATTAATGGCCGTTAATATAACTGGAGCCTTAGTAAAAGCATGAATATATGTATGACTACCCATGTATAATTCCAGAAATATCTGCTTCAATGGAGCAAAATTATTTATACCTAGCTGCCGGTTAAGTAGGCGCATTGCGGTTTCGAAGTTTCCAGCTGCAGCATGCTCCCCAGCAAGAGATGATTTTTTAATCCAAATTTGACTCACAGGCAAGCCTTGAGTAGGAGCAACAAAAACGGATGCTCGGGCATTACCTGCAGCCACTGGAATGTCTGCATCAGGAGGTAAGTCCAGATCCTCAAGATCCCATCCTCCTCCATTTTCTTCATTTCCTTCAACAACATCAACTTTTGCATCTATACCACCATTTTTTATTACAGGGTCCGCATCAACAATATCCAAATCTTCTTCACCCCATTCAGCACCAGAAGCTTCTTCTTCTTCTTCTTCTTCTTCTTCTTCATGCCCTGGCCTTCCAGCAACATCTAATCTGCCCGCAAAAATGCCCCTCATGACCCTCAACAATGGCCAGTCGCCGCCACTGATGAGTGGGGTTGGTGGCAGCAAAAGAGAATGGACTTTACCTTCTGGTATGACAGGAACGTTATCCCCCAATTCAGCGGCAAGTCTTTCTGCAGTTTCAATGAGCCCGTGAGTCAAAGCTGTGATATATGCAAGAGGCAACTGGCCAGCATTTTCCAATATTGCCACGCGTGTCGGGATATCGCCCAGATACATAGCATTGTGGAACTGACCCATAACATCATTCTTCATTTCAGCGATCCTCAACATTTTTGATAGCTTCAACCTATTACCAGTGATGAGATACAAAAAAGATAATCTTTCAAAGTTTTTAGTCCACTGATAAGCATATTCTACAATACTGGTATTCCCTTGTCGAAGGGCTTCAATGCCTAATCTGTACCAATGGTCCTTTTCATCTATCTCCTTTGCAGAAGCAACAGCTATCTGGATGTTACCACTCTCAAGACCTAAGTTGAATCTGGTTCTCTCATCTTTAACAAAGTGAAGAGCTACCTCAGGAAATCCTTTTTGTTGCAGGTATGCAATAATAGCCTGCCCACACAATTGTGAACTCCTGATCATAGTCAAAACATTGTCATATTTTTTCCTAAGAAGCGAAAGCTTAAAAACATACTCTGTAGCATCAACTGCTATCACCTGATTCTTCCCGTCACGATCCAAACAATTGATATTGTTGCCAGAAACCTTAGTTATGTATACTGGTACATCCAGAGTCCTTATAACTCCATTGTCCCCATTAGGGAGGCAATACTTAATGTGGTTCAAGGTTGCATAGATGAAGACGCCATTCTCATCCCAGGCACCACTTTTCACACGGATTGTCTCATGCAGTGTACAACGGTGAACAAGTTTCTTGCAGGTAATAACTATGGTATGCTTGCTGATCAATGCAACAGTTTCCATGTCGCTTGACCAAACAATATATTTGACTGAAGGTACCTGAATTTCCCCTAGAATGAGACGCTGTTGAAGATCAAAGATGACTAACTTATCTTCAGCCCTGCACAACAGATTACCAGTTCCAGCATAAAAGATTGCATCTGTAGCAATAGGAAGGGAACTCTTTTTTATAATCTCATTCTTAAGATTCTTGACTAATGCCTGATTGCTGCTCTTGTCTAACACGGCGAACCTGTTGCGGGCAACAAAAACAGCAGACCCTCCTCCTCTCTTCGCATCCGGAACAACATCTGCCTTTCCACCATTGTCTCTTGGAACTACATAGAGCTCATAAGAACCTCCATCTGCATCAGAACATACCAAGATAGCATTCTCTGTTGAGCTGAAAGAGAGTGTTCTTGGACTCTGATTCAAGCTTATAGCACCAGCTTTCCTTATTGGGAACACTTGATTATCCTTCTGAGATGAAAACTCATAAAACCTTAAAAACCGATCTTTGACATAATATAGGGAGTTCCCACTGACAGAAAAAGCAGGACGCTCTCTCTCTAGTTTGAATACTATCATTCCACTGTCATGGCCAGCAGCAAGTAGATTCATTTCTGGATGCACAGACAGAATCCAAAAACGATCATGCTCTCGGCGAAATGTCTGAATAGCAGTACGCTTAGTCGCATCCCAGACACGAATGCTTTTGTCCTCAGAATTGGACACGATAATATCCTGTTTTGCATGGAACATCACACAAGAAATATTGTTCATATGCCCTCTCAACGTGTCCACTTCCCATGCCTTTGTATCTATGCAACAACAAAAGCAAAGAATGGGTAATGTTAAATGCGTTCTGGAAGCAACTAGAGATGGTTACAGATTCTCGCGTTTTTTTTTTTTTAATTAAGACCTTGTAAAGCAACACCACTCAATCAAATGGGTGGTGGTGATTCTCAGATAATATTCCTTGTAAGAAACTTCAAGAAATAATAGACAGGAAAGATTTTTTAGCGACAAATTTAAAATGAAACAGCCACCAAGATTCGTAAGGAAAAATAGGTTTCCTCAGACTTACCGTTCATTCTCCATAATTTTACTTGCCGATCATCTGCACCAGAGACAATGAGAGGCGAATTAGGATGAAATGATGCCCAATTGACTCCCCGCTCATGACCCTCTAAGATATATTTGACAACTGCATCAACACCGCCAAATAGATCTGTGTTCATCTGGCTCAGACGCAAAGTATCATCAGCTGGGGTTACTGTTTTCTTCCTCAGGGCACCGATATCCCAAACACGGACAGTCTGATCCAGGGAAGCAGATACAACAAGATCCTCCTTTGGATGGAATGACGCGCACATCACAAAGTGATTGTGGCCAGTCAAAACTGAAATGCAGACACGAGACTGCCAGTTCCAAATCCTAATAGTTTGATCATCACTTGCGCTAACAACCCAAGGGTATTCATCATGGAATTGTACTGTACGAATGTAGTCAAGGTGCCCAAGAAGAGTAAACAAGCAAAGGCGTGTTTTGTAATTCCAGACCTTAATTTTGTAATCATCACCTGCAATACAACATTATTGCTCCAGTTAAGTTCCTAGTTATTACGAAATTTACTGCTGTAATTCCCATGATAGTCACCCAAATATGTTTCTGTCAATCATTCCAGCCCAAGATCATTCCGGGGAAAGAGAAGGTCTAGCCACTAGTCAGGCATTCATATGCCAGACAAAATTAATCCAATTTCATAAAAAGCAATAAATATTTCATCAAACATTACGACTAAATCTAAATGTTTGGTATCGTATTTCAGGCAGGATTTAAGCATGAATTAGCTTAAATATTTGAAAAAAAAAATTTGGGGACGTTATCTTATTATTTTAATAAATCCCATTTCATCACCAGGATTTACTATATCTGGATTTATAGGATTTATGAATGATGAATCCTATTTGTAGCTGAACAACCCTTATAAGAAATAAAAATAAAAATAAGACCAAACAAATGAAATTCAAGGTTCAATCAGGTACATGAACAGATCTTATCGTCAAGTCTTATCATCAATTAGTGGATCTTATCAAATAAATGAAATGCAAGGATCAATCAGATAAATGAATTGATCATAAAAGAAGAGAAACGCCGGCAAGATTAAATCCAAACCAATATCACGAGAAAACATAAGGGATTATCCAGACCTCCGGAAACAAATAACGGCTGCAATTTATGAAAATGGAGTCCGCGCACGGGTCCATCGTGCTCTTCAAAACGGTCGATAAGAGTTCCCACGCGATAGTCCCATAGCTGTATCACTCCACTATGAAGACTAGAAATTATCCAAGGCCTCTTCCTGTGAAAGCTAATCCCCTTTACCCGATTACTCTTGGTCTCGAACTTGGTCAGCATCTCTGCCACCCTACCTCCTTATTACCCAGACAGATATTTGAAAACTCTACCCGCCGGTGGCCCGCGAAACCCTAAACTGAATGGAAGAAATAAAACGGCGAAGATCATATGGTACTGTTAGGGCTAGAATTCTGATCTAAAGCAGCGGATGGAGTGTGGAGAAGGGAACAGCTCTTACGTAGGGATATCAGATCTGTGCAGATAGATCGGAATTGACGCGGCAGTCTCCGCCGTTGACGAGATCAGCGTCGTCACGAGAGATTTGGTCATCCGCCTGAATGAGATCTGGTTTCATTGCAACACCTTACAACTTGGCTTGGTTATAAACGCAACCTCCCACGCCCTCCACTTCCGTCACATTAGCCGGGCGTCAAGCGGCGAATTTGGACTGCCGTAAGTCAGCAAATTCCTCCTCCTTTACCTCCAAACTATTTATTAAAAATTCATCTCTGTCGTGCTCCAGTATGCTCGCGGCGGCAGAAATATAACGAAAATATATCACAAACAGCTAAGAAAACAGATATGCAAATATTATGAGGAAATCAGAAATTTTATCTAAAAATTTTTTAAAAGGGAAAAAATTATAAGGTCTAATGTGATTAAAATAATAAACTAATATTCATTATTGATTATAAATAATGCCCTTTATCCAGAAAAGGCATTAGCAAATGTACAATGTATATGACATAGTTTGAAGTCGGAAGAACTCAATGGTATTTTTAATAGACTTTTGACATGTTTGATTTGTCAAAAGGAACGTAGTATGGTGATGATAGTCATAGGGTCATACTCTTGAAGTGGGGGTTAGATGGCAATAGCTGAGTGACTATGCCAAAGGGATTGTAGTCGAGTGACAAAGGTCACAGAGATCGTAGTCGAGAGACAAAAGTCAGAGAGACCGTAGTCAGGGATTACAAATGTTAGAGAGACCTTAGTCCAGGCGATTATGGGTAGAGGGATCATAGTCATGCGACTAAGTTTGGAGGGACCGTAGTAGGGCGACGGAGGTCGATGAGATCGAAGTCGTATGATGGAGGTTGGTGGGATGGTAATCGGGCGATGATGATCAGAGGGATAGTAGTTAGATAATGATTGTTTGACGACCGTAGTTGGAAAATGATAGTCATAGTGACCGTAATCTAATACCCAATAAAGTAGTGTACAATTGCACCTGTTTTAGCTCGATTTGTTAGTTATGTATGTTACTTCTGCATTATTTTTACATGTGTCAATGAGTGTTTTTTATACATGTGAATATCTAAAACTATTGTGAAATAGGTCCTAGCGGTCCATGTCTATGAACCAAAAATATGGATTTTTTTTCCTTAGGAGCATCGCGGCACCGAGGTAGGTGGTGTTGTGGCATTGAGCTCTCCATATTTTTGGGGAAATGGGAAGCGACGCGGCATTGGGATTGTGCACCACGGAAGTAGGTCTAAATTTTATAAAAGTATCAAAATTCGCTCATTTTTCATTTAAAAAAAAAATCCACCCCTCTTTTAAGGCAGACGGCTAAAAAGAGAAAGGAGTGTTACAGTCAGAAAGTTCGGATTTGGGACCTTGATCCATTTTTTTGTTGTTTTAGGATCAAGGTAGATTACATTTAGTCTATTTCAAATTTTCAAAAATACTGAGACTTTGAGATTTTTTTGCTTTAAATTATAAATTTATAACATAGAAATTGGGACAGCTTTACACATGCTAAATTTTCATCGTGTAACATTTTGTATATTACAGATATGATCATTCTTGTCATTTAGGTAAATAATTAGAAAAGTGTGCTATGATTAGCAAATTTGAAAATATTTTTTATCTCATAAATTAAGCTTGTAGCACAATTTAAGCTTTCCAATAATATTCTTAAAAAAACCTTATAATCTGGTGACGAATGTCAGAGGAATCATAGTCTAAAGATAGAGGTCGGAGGGACCATAGTCCAATGACGAAGGTTAGAGGAATCATAGTTGGGTGACGGTGGCTGAAGTTGTTGTAGTCAAGTGATGAACACCAGAGGTGTAACACCCGATGACCTAAAGGAGGAATTTGAACCTACTTTCCTATACTTCTAAGATTTCTTTTTCCCATATGAATGCACATGTAGCTAGTAATCAAGAATATATAAAATAAATATTCCGAGTGCATAAACCATAATTTCTCTTTCATTCCCAAAATAATTAATTACAATAGTCCATATTACAATGATTTCAACAAAATTAAATTAAATCTGAACTGCATAATTCTAAATGAAATTCTAAATATCTACTAAAGTCCGGCCTCCTTGTTTTCTATCAAACTAGGTCCACTAAACAAAGCCTTTACCTTTTTTTGGAATGTAATAAACAACATAATGAGTATAAACTCAGTAGGCCAACACCAATTTCTCCATAACATAATTTAACTCATAGCAAAATAAAACTAAAATAAAATTATAAAAGTATTGTTTAGCTTTTAACTTCTAAGTATACTAATGCACATATGATTGCAAAATGCACTAGTAGTTATGTCCCTTATAACTCTCAATCTTCCACCTCCACCCTACTCAATAGAGCTACATAGGAGAATCAGAACATAACCATACTTCTAATAAAAATCAATTCTAAGTAAGAACATAATAATCTAGTACAAAATATTTTCATCTTGGACTCAAGCAGATAATTTCAGAATGTCATTATTTCAAATTCAGAAACTCCTTGATATCATGAAAATCATGATAATGCAATGCAACGTGCAATTAAAGATTTTTAAAATAAATAGCATCATATACCAACTTGCATAGAAAACTCCCACATTTCAGTTACCAAACAGGTAAAATTTTGCATTCTTATAATCAAATTGTCTATAATAGAGAGTAAAACACTACAAAAATGTTTACAATTTGAAAAAATTTTAAAACATAAGAAAGCATGTCTATCATTATATACTTTAAAATTTCAATCATAAATAGGGTCTGGGTTGCCTACCTCAAGAACGACAATTTTTCTAACTGGCTGGATGGATGAAAATTGGATTTCAAACTCCAAATCCACTCTTTTGCATTCTCTTTCCTTCATTCTCCTCTTCTTTCTTCCTTGGCAAGCTGAAGGGAATTAAGCTTAGCTTAGTGACTTCATATATTTATTATTTTTAAAAGTAAAAATTTGGCCTAAAGCTGCGGTGATATAACTTCTGATGCCATAGCGCCCACAGTAAAACTCTCCCAAACTTCCTACTCCAACCCCAACACCATTAAAACACCACCAGGCCGCCACACTTTCCTAAAATTTTGTTTTTCCTCATTTTCTCAAGACTACATCATTGGAGCGCCACCTCTCGGCACATCAATGCTCGTAGAGAAAATTCGAACTTCTTTTTTTTTTCTCTTTCTCAGATCATATTTTTGAATTCTTCTATTCTCCATTAATCTGAAGCATACTCACAACTACTAAATATGTTAAAATTAAAATTTGGAGTAGATAATTACTTGGATCTCATACGATGGATATTACAGAAAGGTTTGAAGTCGATCGATAGAGGCTAGAGGGAGAATAGTCAGGCAATAGAGGCCAAAGGGGCCATAGTCAGGTAATAGAGGTCGATGGGACCATAGTTGGATAATAGAGGTTGGTGTGGCTATAGTTAGACAATAGTGATAGTTGGAAATGTAGTCAAATTATCGAGGTTGGTGAGGCCATAATCAGGCAACGGTGGTAGGTGGATCGTAGTCGGGCAACAAATGTAAAAGAATCGTAGTCGACAGACGATGTTGGTCTTAATATTGTAATAAGATAATGGTAGTTTGAGGACTGTAGCCGACGAGCGACAGTATTCTGAGGACTGTAGTTGAACAACATTAGTCTTAGGTTCATAGTTGGGCGAAATAGGTCGAATTGACCGTAGTCAGATAATGATGGTCTGAAGGCAGCGGCGAAGTGACAAAAGCTCTAATAATGGTGGTCAGGAGGAAGTCAGATAGTGGGGACTGGGTGGAGACCCGACTACGGTGGCCAAATGGAGGTTCAAAGGCGATGATTGGGAAGAGATCAGATGATGAAGGTCCGATGGTGACACCTAGGCTGAGATTCGATGGCAGCGTCCATGTGGACATCCGACAAACAATCAGACAATGAAATTCTGGCAGCGGTGATCGAGCGATAAGAGTTTTTCATCAGTGGTACTCTGGTGGGGCTCAACGAGTTTTTTAGCCTCAAAGCTCTCATGAATATTTAACCCAATGTCCATTCCCCTTCTTCCATGTAAAGAGTGAGGGCTTGTTTGTAGATTTTAGAGTGGAAAGCCTTATAACTATGAAACTTTTGATATGTTTCTGAGATGCTTATTTTGCACGATTTGAGTATTTTCTGTAAAGTTTTTACCCTGTATTTTGAGTTCTGTGCAATTTTTATCGAATAGATAATTATCAGGATGTTGAAAAATATTTTGTCAGTACAATGAAAGTCTTATATTGTTGTTTTACATGTTCTGTAGTAATTTGGTAAAGTTCTGAATATGTGATTTCTGTGTAAATTCTGTATACTGTCGTTGTGCCGCCGATTTCTCGTACGACCTCTGATTTTCTGAATTGATGATTTAAATGATTGAATATGCATACGAATGTAAATATATGATTGAATTATTGTTATTGTTACTGAAAAACAAGTAAAGACTGGTTGAACCGTTGGTTGGAGACATGATACCTATACATGATGGTGGGCCGACGGGCTTTCCTTTAAATAAAGGGTTTGGTGTTATCCTCTACTGATCACGTGATTACTGAAGGGAGTCATAAGGAGATGAATACTGTGCCGACGGGCAAAGAGTGATGACTCTTTTTACTGAGCCAACGGATACAAGATACAAAATACAAGATATAAGACTGAAAAATGCCTTAATAGCCAGTGATTATACCTATTCAGTAAGATTATTGTATTGAATTGCATGTGTACAGTACTGTTCTTATGATCTCATTATGATTTATTGATGGATTTATTGCTATTGTATGAATTTACTGTTAATGCATGATTTCACTGTTATAGCATTACTGTTCATATCACTACTGATACTGAAACTGATACTATTGATTCACTGTACTGACGTTATGCAAGTGATATACTGAGTAAGTGACATGTGATTCACTGCACACGTGACATAGATTATTGGATTGCATGTGATGCACTGAGTACGTGATATGGGGTAACTGAATTGCAAATGTACATTTTGATACGATTTTATGGCATTGATTGATTCTAACTGTTTTAAATGTTATTATGATTTATTGCCTGATTTGACTGATTTCTATAGAGATTGACGTACGCACAGATTTATTGAGTTTTACAGACCTTTGAACTGTTTATTGATTCTTCTACTGTGGATTTAGGAGTTAACTATTTCTTATTGTTACTGTACTGATTACTATTCATGCATTGATTTTCGTTATCTGCATTGATACTATTTCTGTACTGATTTTCGTATCTGCATTGAATTAATGATCATGTGGAACTAACTGCTATGATTTGACTGATTG